TGGTTGAGTTTTACAAGCAGCAACCTTCAAAGATTGTTTAATGTACTCTTAGTACGATGAATTACTTACTAAAAAGTTGGCAGACTCTTCAATCGAGTGTGAACTAACTGTCATCCAAACAAAAGCGTGGGTTTCATCAGATGGCGTCGACTGAAGATCCTGGTAGACAGACTTTTCACGTGACCTTCTACTACTACTGTTGCTCACGGGTACGGTTACGCAATTATTTATTGTAATTCTTTTTGCTCAACAAATGTCACTATGCTGAATTGGCATTCCAGTTATGCTCCATTACAATTAACATAAAACTGCGTTTTTAACAAAATCGGAGCAAAATCATCCCGTGTAGGTTAATTCGGATTCCGGAATCGAAAAATTGTTGCTTTTGGAATCACGAATCCAAGAAAAATTTGGAATTCAGACTTCAACTCTACGAATCCAAATTTCGCTTACAATTGGAATGCGGAATCCAAGTTCCACTGTCAAGGAATACAGAATCCAATGCCTGGAAACCGGAATCAAGAGAATGTAGTCCAGAATCCAAGTATTTCCTGAGAGTCTTAATATTACCTTATATTTAGCTCTTATTAGCCGAGCAAGAGGTCTGTATGTGAGAATTTTTACTGAGGTCGCCGCTGTGAGGTCTGTACCAGCGACCGAGGTCAAGATTCTTCCATACAGACCGACCTAGCTCGGTTAATAAGATGTTTATTACATGTGGCCAAACAAGAAAGCAAAGGAAGAAAAACATAAATAATTTTATTTGCCTTCCTGCGCTGGCTCAAGCATTTAGCTGGCTTTCTTCTGTCACTGGTCTCCAGTCCATACGGGACAAAAATAACTGTTCAAAGTCCAGCATTGTACAAACTTTGTACAAACAAGCCAATTTTTTCATATTCTTTATTTGTTTGTAACTTTTTGAGGACAACTGTTACAACAAGATCGGTATAGATGCCGGTCTAGATGGGAAAATCTAGACCGCGGTCAAGATCGATCATTTAGCCAATCAAATTCTTAAATTTGTTTGTTTCCAGTCCTTTTGAGACATGGCCATATAATAAAGGGTGACGCTCCTGAGGGTGAAAATAAACGAGCTCGTTTATAGTGTCCTGTGCCAGCCATTAAGATCCTTTTTTTGTTTGCATTATGTTAAAGTTGTGACCCAGTGCAAAGGTCGCACTTTCATATGCTGAATCTATTGCTAACGTGGTTGACAATTTCACTTAAGTGAGCTGACAAGGCTCACAGTAGTCTGACGAACGTTGATACCTTTTTTTGCAGTGGAGTTCAAACTAGCTTAGGCATCCTAAACTCACATTGTACATGGACATCGGACAGGGTCAGGAATGGAGTTTCTGAGGTTTAAGTGACTAAAACAACAATTGTAATCAGCACGTTTTGTGTATTCCTGGTATATGATCAAAACGTTCGTCTCTAGTACAAAGGCGTATAAAAATATGAAAACGTAATTCCTCTCTAAATTTCTGTTCCTGTTATATAGCAAGTCATAACTGAGTATCCTTAAGATGGCTAATATTGGACGAGCATAGATAACTAAGTATTACTATTCAAAATACTTTGTAGCACACTGAAAGTACTTCTCCATGTTGGGTAACCATGCACGCCCACTCGCAGATTTGAATCCCTTTCACCCGCATGCAGTTATTTTAAAACAGCTGACTTTTGCAAAACGCAATAAGTAATACCGGGACCGAAAGAGCTTTGGGTGCAATGATGTAAGCATTGCATTAAGCCAAATGGAGCCGCAATAAATTGTTATAAGACTGAGGATGCTAAGCAGATCGATAAAAAGAGGGAGCAAGATACGTATCGACTACGGAATGTTACGCGTTTGGCCAGCGTAGAGGATCTCAAACAGCATCTGACCTTCTGGAAAAATGGCCCGCCAGCGAAGTTCGTAACTTGGCGCTGGCCTCATGAACACTTTTCGAGCATTTGTTTTCTGCTAAATTATTAAAATGCAAAACTCGAGTTCCTTTAATAATCCCATATTTCTATTGGGCCACGGTATTGCCTATTGGGCTTTGCTGATGTCATCCTTTTTGTATTAGCTGTATGCAACATTACCCCGCTGGTTAATACATTGGACATGCCTAATTAACTATTCTGAAGTATATCTTACATAGCATGCACAACGACAATCATATGTGACTAGGTTCTGTAAGCTCCAAACGTTTGTCTTTCGTCTTGAACAGCTTGTTATCACCTATCTATTTCATCATCTATATTCTCCATATAGCACACCTAGTGTGTGGAAGAGAGGCCTGGATTTTCGGGGAGTAGGTGGCTTAGAATAGTTTTGTGAACTGATTTTCTAGCTAGTAGTACTTAGTACTTTTGATTTTATGCACCATTTACAACGGCAAAAACTTTTGAAGTCTTTTTTACCAGTCCTCAAAAAAAATCTAAAACTCGTTCATGGCATTGCTCAGCTGAAGGGCGCTTCTCTGGCATCACCTCCCAACACTCCTTCATGAGTTCTTGCCAGCAAGGAGGAGGATCCACGTGGGCTTCTAAATGTTCTGGACGATACCCGCTACCCACCTTTCTGAAGAAATCTTCAAGGGTCAAGAATACAAGTTTTGAAAACGCTTGTTTTCCGTACCAGATCTCCCACAACATAATACCAAGACTGTAGATGTCTGCTTTGCTGTCATACACCTTAGAGCGAAACACTTCGGGTGCGATGTAAGCAGGGCTTCCAGCAAAGGTACCAGTAATGTCTGCTGCTGCTTTAGATATGCCAACATCTGTAACTTTTACTGAGTTTTCCTCTGACAGCTTTAAGGAAAAAAGAAACTTAAATTAAAGTAGGATTTCACTATTAAACTACCACACATATTCATAAATCTTCTATACTAAAATCAACTCTAAGCAATGCCTTTATCGAATTTTTCGTAGTAAAAGGCCTTAAAAAATCGCTCATTATCGTTAATAGTAGGCCGGAATATGATTTGTTCTTAACCATACCTTCGTACAGTCGAGCATGCTAAGAACACTGCGTGGCTAAGAACACTACTGTACGTTACACTTGAGAAGCACTGAGTCTAGGGGACCCATGCTAGTCTCTCTCAGCCTTGCAAAGATTATTTGGCTCAAACAACCCAGAGCGTTATCCTCAGTCTCTTCTCTGTTTCCATTAGTTACAATTGTGACAATTAAGACCCAATTCAAAGGTCGCACTTTCATTATGCTGAATCTATTGCTAAGAGGTGGTTGACAATTTCACTTATTTATAAGTGAGCTGACAATGCTCACAGAAGGGTGACGAACGTTGACAGCCTTTTTTGCAGTGGAGTTCAAACTAGCTTACTAGGCATCCCAAACTCACGAAAATTAACGATTAGATTAATCAGCAATAAAGCAGAGTTTATCCTTTAAGAATTTGTTGTCTTAAAAGCTACCTCATTGCTTACTCAGCTGCCTGTGGCTCCCTAGGCCTCAGCTATGATGCTGGATGCTGGTTTAACATGAAAGATGATCAAAACTACTTGTAGTTCTGAAAGCCATTTTCGCACTTTTCAAAATCAAGCCAAGTGAACTCATGACTTGAAACATGCTTGTAAAATAACTAACCCACAAATCCCTAGAGAAGTTAAGAATCAGAGTCAATGTCGAAACTTTTTGCAACAGAAAGTGGTCCGTAGATTTAGTATGTGTTCTTTGATGTCTAAACGTTAATCTGTTATTGAGAAATGTTTTTTTTATCTCAATATAATATCAGACAGGCTCTTAACAAAGACAAAAGCACTATAGATTAAGTCTAAACACAAGTAATTTGTCCTGACTCATATATTGTGTATATTGCTGTTCTCTATTGTAATAAAGCTTGTTAAATAAAGAGCTATAACACCACTTTGCATTATACCAAGACGTTTTCAAGCTTGAGATCTCTGTGGACTATCCCCTGTTCATGAATGTACGCCAGAGCATCAGTGATTTCTTTGACCCATTGACGAGCGTTTCTCATGGCATCAGCTCTTCCTGATTTCCCAGGAATCAAGTGGTCGTTTTTAAAGATGTGGTTCTGTAGGTTTCCTTTGCACCATTCTAAAACCAGCATAATTCTCACGGAGTCTTGTTCTAGCAGCAGTGAAGTGCCATAAAACTCAACAATGTGAGGGTGACTCAGTTTTCTAAAAAGGTATATATTAAAGTAAAAAGGGTTATTTAAAACTATTCCTAGTCTGATTTACCCCTCTCAGTGTCCGGGCAAGAACAAGTGTTTGCAAAGAACAAATGCTAACAAAGACTTGAGGAGACTATTAGTTTTGATTCCTAAAAGGTTAAGGTCTAACATTGTAAAAATCAATTTTGCAACAAGTAGTTTTTCATGAAGATACAAGCATTTCATCGTATCGAATCTCAGCTTCATTTCGTTTCCCTCAAAATGGACCTATCTGTTTTTATGTTTCGTGCTAGTGATCTTTCGCCATTATATCCAGACCACTGATGATGAACGCGCAGAAACACTTAGACATGAGACATTTTCTTACCTTAACATTTGCACTTCAGCCATAAAAAGGCTGGCATTTTTAGCATTCAGCACTTCATTGTACACCTTCAGGGCCACGGTATAGGATTTCTCTTCTCTTTTCATCACTCCTTGGTAAACAGCTCCAAATGCACCGCAGCCAAGACGGGAAGAAATGTCCTCCTTCCAGTTCAGATTATCGCCACTGATATCAGTGACTCGAACTTCTTTGAACCCAAATTCTGCCAGTCGTCCTCTGAGATGAGAACCTTCATCCATAATTGGCTGGTAGCGTTTTCTTATGTCTTGCTGTGAACGGGTTTCGTCACGAAGTTGGTTGCAGAGCATCTTGTCTGCCTCTATTAATTCAGGTAAACGGGCTTCAATCTGCTTGAGGCAGACTTGGGCTTCTTTCATTTGCTCCTTTACGAAAGGTTTCAGTACTTTTTTCTCTTTCAGATCTTCAAGATACCTTGCCGACGCTTCTTTCATGAAGACACACTTGTCCTCTTCGTAATTCTTTGTTTTCTTTCTATCCTCCAACTTGCTTCTTATAGCCATGATACCATAGACAGGAACACCGATCACCAAAGCAACTAAACCGAGTGGAACCCAGATTGGACTTGTGACACCAATGATCACTTTTTCAGTCAAGGAGAAATTTGTTTCTGGAAGCTGATCATGTAAAACAATGTCTTCAGCAGTGATGGCGTTCTGAAGGATCCGCAGCTGTCCTTCGACAAAATTGAAGCGTGTCTGAAAGTGCTGCATAAGGGAAGCACGAGTGTTTGCAAACACTTTGTTATCTTCTTCCCAATGCTCTATGAATTCTCGGAGTCGTCTTGATAGCACTTTAGCGATTTGGTTTTCTGTTACCTCCCAGGAGTCTTCTGAGCTTGGTACTTCGTCTAATGTCCATGAGGTAAAGCGGGCTTTAACTTCTTCCGAGGAAAGGTACTCGGACAGCCTCTGCAAAGCGACATTTGTACGTGTCTTCAGGTACTGATGAAGGTCAGCAACGACTTCACTTTGTTGTTGTTCAATTGCTTCTAGACGGTTGACAATCTCTCCCATCTTTTGGATAACTTTGTCGCGATCTCTAGAGGCATTCATTACGAAGGCTCTCGCCTGATAGATTATTCGAGAAAGGAGGTAATCCAACCATCTATATGAGATAACAACAAATAGAACGACATTAAGTTTCATTTGACAGCCTTACTGACTAAACAATCCATCATAATTTACATGAGTTCGCCTTTTTCCGAGGTGAACACTGTAAGGCCGATCAAAACGCCCAAAGGGCTCATCAAAGCGTGATAATTTGGGTTAATTTACCATGATACTATTTGGCTTTAGTTCTTTCTTTACCAAACTTAGCCTGAAAATATGAACCATAAGGCCAATCAAACTTGCTTATAGGATGACATCAAATGTCAAATTATAACGTCACATATGCTGACGTCATTCATTCGTTAATTTTGAAACTTTTGAATCTTTCAATTTTCAATATCTCAATGAACTGAGATATGACATTTAAAATTTAAATGAATTCGTAAAACAAAAACTGAGTACCCCATTGTAAAATAAGTCTAAATTTTAGCGTTTCATTGACGAGTCGCCTTTGCTATTAAGCTACACACTATACTACAGTGAAAGCTAAAGGAAAAAGAAAGAATAAAAAAGCAAATTCCTAACTGCGCAAAAGCCATGAGAAAACAGTTTTGTGAAGTCATAAATGACACATTACCATTTTTTATTTTTGCTTATGGGCAACTATGAATGGTTTATGTTAACCGGGATATTAGCTTATGTTGCAAAAAAAATTATGGTCCATGGGGGTGCACTTAAATATCTTTGAAGTCCGATAACTGGAGTTTTACGCGTCGTAACGAGAAAGGGTTTTCGGTGTTTTACTCCAGTTTTTTGAGGGTCTGAATGGGGTTTAGTGTTAAGTGTTATTTGCCCATAATTTTTTGTGTTTGCTGTTAAATTGGCCAATTTTTTTAACGTTTGCTGTTTCCGAAGAAAGTACTGTTAAGTGTTTGAAGGGTTCTTTAGACATTTTCGGCAATGGTTGGCCATCTTAGTCAGTCTTCGGCTGTCTTCGGGAATCTTCGGTAGCCCTTTGGAAGTCTTCTGAAGTAAATAGACCTTATTCACGATACCCACCATCTTTGCATGCGTCCTAGGATCGATGGGATACTAGCAATGTCACGTGGTTTCTTAGGGGACAAACAATGAATAAAATTTGCTAATACCAGTAATAGGGGTCAAATTTGATTATTCTATCAAAACGAGACGACGATTGAATAGTCATTCAAAATGTACAGTTCGAGTTTCGACTAGTTTTACGTCTTTATTAATGTAGCCTGCATAACAGGCGCTTTATGAGCCAAGCGAGGTGAACGCGTCATTTTGCGGGAAGGGCGAGACGAGGGGAGGAGAAAAATAAAGCGCCTGGCTCTTCTCACGTTCACTACATGAACGTTGCGTTCCAATTGGTTCATTGATGACGCATTGTTCTGGCGAGATTCTGGTATGTTTGTCTGGAACAAAATAACCGTCACGCACGTCAAGAAGCCTTTCGTTTATATTCAAATGTTCCAGAAATAAAAAAAAAAATGTTTAAATTTATTTCATAAGAGGAAAGGTGTTATTGGATTGCTTCCAACTAGGTTAGGAAAAAACTGATTTGCTAACTTTTTTTAAATTATAAGTTATGACAGGCTAAACGGGACTTATAAGCTCGTGACCTTGGAAATTGATTGAACAACACGTTTTCTCTCTTTTCTTTCCCGCCGCTGTGTTTGGACATAACTAACCTTTGACTGAGCAAATTAAATCTTACTTTTACCTTCACATGAGTTTATCACTATTGAAGGTGATTGTTGCCAAGACAGTAGTTTCCTGTGGTTTATAGTGCTGTCGGTGTTGCTGGTAGCCAGAAAGGTAACAATATTCAAGTAATAGATCGTGTTTTGATTGGTCCTTTTGACATCACCGCCGTCAGTCAATACTTGTGGGCGTAGGTGGGTGGAAGAGCTAGAACAATGGACTGGCAACAGAGGCGCTTTATTTTTATCCTCCCCTTTTATCCTTTCGCTTGGCTAATAATATAAAGCGCCTGTTATGCAGGCTATTATTAGAGACCTTTAGCATCAGGTTTTTCGTGGGAAACTGCAAACCGCCAACCGCAAAACGTCACGTGACCACGGCCTTGCGGTCACGTTTGCAGTTTGTAGTTCACGTTTGAACCGCAGGAAGGGCTTCCAGCGGTAAGTGATTTACGGCAAGGTTTTTTTCTCGCGTTTAAAGGTATGAACTAGCTTTTTATATCTGTTTGCGATGTGTTTGTTGGATTTTTGATCTCGAATCAATGAATTACTGCTGATTTTTGGGCGATTAAAGTGATGCACTTCGCCTTGATGAAAACAACCTGGCGGCCCTAAACAAGGAACGCGTAGTTCAAATCGATTTTATATTCCTTTCTGCCGTACTAACAAAAGAGAGTATTCTGTTCCAATCCAGAGTTAAATTTTTTTTATCTTGTTACTGAATTCATAGCTTACCTCAGTCTCTGTTTAGTTCCTCTTTTTAACGTATTTCATTCCGCGAATTTCATTTTACTGTTTTGCTTATTTCTTTGAGAATGGGGAGCCCAGGCTTCATAAGCCTTTTGGTTTCTTCTGGGCTCCCTTGCAACCTTACAATTGCTATATGTATTCTTGTATTGTATTATATTTTGTCTAAATAGAAATGAACTGAAATGAACTGAACGCCTTGCTAAAATTTGGAATCTCGTCAACGCGAAACTGCAAACGCGTAACTGCAAACTGCGGTTTGCGGTTTGCCTGATGCTAAAGGTCTCTATTAATGCTGAACGGACATCTACGGTCCTTCTAAAGGACCTAAAGTTCTTTCAGATTCTATAAACCCAGTTGTATTATGGTGACGTCAGCCGTTATGACGTGAGAATTTGACATTTTGCGCCGAACAAAAACTTAAAATTATCTGGCTAACACTGATCGTAGTCTATCTTACACGTTTGGTCAAGATATGAAAATGGAATTCTTGGGTAGAACGCCAATAAGCACAAAAAAGCAAGCTAAATAAATTGAATCGATAGTAAAAATCTAACTAAAAGATATATTTGCTGCGGAGCGACCGAAGGGAGCGAGCAGCAACATAATCAGGATTTAAAGGAAATATATAAGGGGCAACGAATTCTCGAATTCATCACTTTTTACCACAATGCATTGCATTTAACCACACTTTTTACCACAATGCATTGCATTTAACCAGAGTGCATTGCGCCACGAACAACTCAAATAAAAACACGGGGAAGTAGTGCATCGTTCGCTGCTTAGTTCTACAGTACGGTTAGAGGTCTTACCAAATATTAAGACACGCAGGAGTCTTTCAGATGAATACGATGGTTAACTTGGGGAGTGGATTTCAATTCAAGAGCCTTTGACTCGTCCAGGTGTTAAACCTGACGAGAAGATGAGCATTTCAATGATTTGCTCTTCGACTCCGCAACACGGGGGATAAACAAAGTGCAGCTTGCTAGAAGGTGATGTGAAAGTGAGAAAATGTCATGCAATGCTATTCTTAAGAAACTGTGTGAGCCGAAAATGGATGTAATTTTGACCATTCTCTTCAAAATAACAGCGGAAATCGAGATAACAAAACATGTTTTGTGTCCTACTTTGCATACCAGGACGTGTATCGGCGTTTTGAAAAGCATAATTATGTTCTTTCATTCATTCATTGCCACGGAATATGCGTTTACATTGTTTTTTCACTGTTAATAGCTCGGTTAATGCGGCTGGCGATCATCTTGCTGGCGGATGTTTTATAGTAAAGGAATAAAATGAAACACTTTTCCTAGGAATTACGTAATCAGCCTGTGTGGTGTAGTGGTTAGGTGTAGTCGCGTCCAGTCGAAGGTGCCGGGTTCGAGTCCTACCGAATTATTTATTCCTATTTTCTTTTTTTTCCGTTTTTTGTGTTGTTGTTTTCTATAAATATATAGCTAAATAACTGTTACTTAATAAAGTGCAACAAACAGCAAGAAAAGTATTGTGTTTCCAGAGAAAATATCTTGCACCGTATATTAAATATATGGATAAACAATCTCAATTTCTATTATTTCCTACAATTTACTGTGGGAAAACCAGAGTTGATAACCACTTGATCATTTTCCAAACAGCGTTCCCACGAGTTCTTTCTATAGACTGATAGTAATTATTCTAGTACTTTCCAACATGTAAATAGGCCATTTAATGTCATTTTTGATTCTTTTAAGTCTCACTGCCTAACGAATGCCAGTATCAACAGAATTTGCCGCAGCATTACTATCTTTTAGATACCCTAGTTATATTTGTGTTAATAGGCGTGGTCTCTATTTATTCGCTCATATTTTAGGCATTTTTCAGTCAAATGGTTATGGGAAAACCATTTGAGTCTGTTTTAATTGTCTCGGACACTAAAAACTAGTAATTTACCCAATTAACTTGGAACATTAGTGTATCAGAAAATACACTGATGCTTACTTCCAATGAATTTCCAGCCTGGCTCCAATACTCTTCAACACCATGAGCCTCAAGCCATTCATCAACTCGGAAAATTCATTTGTAATGTAACCATGCCCCTGAGCTTTACTAGCTTTCGTTGTTGACATATGTATGATCTGTGATTTAGGGTCAACGCCAGGCCAGCATCTTAGAAGTTTTCTGACGACATGATTCTTAACCTCGCTTACTTCTTTCCCTGGCACTTGGTCCCATTTGTTGCACACAAACAAAGCACACTTGGACGGCAATTCGCCCTGTCTTTCAAGAGATATGTTTCTGACTTCCTCTAATAATTTCTCAAGCTGCAAGAGCAAAAATGACACAATAAATTCGGTAATGGATTCATGATAACCGTCACGAATATAGAGACATTCCATGCACACTTAGCCCACTACAGTTGCCGTAGTTGTTGTAGTTGATGAAGTTACTGTGGTTGGTGTAGAACTACTATAGTTGTAGTTACTGTAGTCTAGTGTTGTAGTTACTGTAGTTACTGTAGTTTGGGTAGTTACTGTAGTTGGTGTAGTTGGTGTAGTATAGCTACTACGCCAGCTACAGCAGATACAGTAACTACACCAACTGCACCTACTATAGCTACTTCACCAACTTTAACAACTACAGCAACTACACATACTACACATGCTGCACCAACCACACTAAACTACACCAACTGTACCAGCCACACTAACTACACCAACTACAACAACTACACGAACTACAGTGACTACACCAACTACAGTAACTACAGCAACTACATCAGCTGTACATAGTACACTAACTACAACTACACATACTACACCAACTACACAAACTACAGCTACACTAACTATAGCAACTACACATACTACACCAACTACACCAAACTACAGTAACTACACCAACTACACTAACTACACTAACTACAACAACTACACGAACTGCAGTAACTACACAAACTACAATGACTAAAACAACTACACCAACTACGGCAACTGCAGCAACTACAGTAACTACAGCAACTAAACCAACTACACCAACTGGAGTAACTACACAAGCTACAGTAACTACACCAACAACACTAACTACAGCAACCACACTAAACATCAACTTTATCATACTACACTAAGTCATCAACTTTGTCATACTACACTAAGTCATCAACTTTGTATACTACACTAAATACAAAGAACGACTGCTTAGGAGACTATATCATTTGAAAATTCCCAGCCCACAATAATAAAAAATGAAATAACTTTTTAGTACGCTAGAGTCCATCTTTACTCTGCCATATTTGACTCGGAAAATAATTTGGCAAATACTGTGCCATACGTACCCTGTCCTTCTGAACTCCGCCTGCATTTGCACTGTTGATCACATAGATGAAAGCAAACGCTTGGGGTAGATACCGTGTGACTATCTCGTCCATAATATCAGATTCGCCAACGCCAGGACTGTCAATTATCACAATTCCTTTCTGAAATACACAAACGGCAAGGTAAAACAACTTTCTCATACTAATGTTTTGGGGTGATAAAAAGAGTACTCCACTTTTAGCAACGCTCGCGAGATCCTTTGGAAAATGTGGGTTTTACAACATGCGCGAATTCTCGAATTAACTCAGAACCCGGCCCCATGAAGCTTGCCATTATGCTCCATCTGTTCTGGGGAGATCGAGGTATGAACCCCATCTTTAGTCATGCGCATTCGCTGCTTTTCAAAATAGGGTGGTTTGACACTTGTGCAAACTCTTGTGGTCGCTTTAAAACTCCAGTTCTAAACGATTTTCAAATTTATCTCAAAGACAATTTTGAGGAACTTCAAGCAACTTCAGCGCAAAGAATTCATCTAGTAGTAAAGTCTGGACTGTACCATACGTGAGATTTGCTGTCAAGACCATTTCCAGAGAGTTTTGAAGTATTTTGGGATAGTGAAAGATAAAAAAGCAGTCATACGAAAAAAGAACTAATATGTTGATTACGACTGCTGAGTTGATTTAAGGTAATCCACTCAATGGAAGAGTGACAGAACCCACTTTACTGTAAACATGTTATGGGAATTTCTTTCGTCTTTTCAAATGATCACGATGGTCGGTTGCTAAGACGTTCCCACCCACAACTTCTTAAATTCAATTTTGGCTCACAGATGAGTATAGTTTATACTCCAAATGAAACAAGACATTAGAACATCTTAATTAGAGAAAAATGTTCTTTAAATTTTTACCATTGTAAAGGTATTTTAGACGTTTCTTGAAGGTATGACCTTACAAGTGACACCTATTTTTAACAAAAACATTAAAAATTTGAAAAGTAGTGTTCAAAAGGTTACAGACATTTTTGCTACAGAAAAAAAATATAAAGTGAAAACCTCATCTAAATCGGATAAAATTGTGACGTCATAATGACGTATTTCGTGACGAAAAACGCGTCATAGCACCAAATACCCTAAGTAAAAAAAATCTAAACTTTTGATTTTATGCAACGTTGTCCTTGCTACTGTGCCAATACATTCATTGTTCTCGCGCTTAAAATACCCCTAATTTTGGCCTTCTTTGGTCACTTGACAGGAACTTTGAATTTCTTAATCAGCTGTAACTTTGCGTTTTTTTACCCAATTGAGATGGGGTTTTCACCAGAAATCATAATATTCTATACAGAAAAGTAAATAAATATAAAATTTTTAAGAGTTCTTTCCTGAATTTTTATTCTGATGCCAAATTTAGACATGATTTATGACGTCACAATAGCAGTCGCATGGGATGAAATGAAAACCAATTAACAGGCAATTTATCAGTCTACTTCCCTGCCAAGTTTCGTCACATTCGATGCATTCTACTTCTGTCTATGGCCTAAAACGCTCAGTTTTCAGGTTCTTCTGCCAATTATGACGGGAAATGAAAAGCTGAGGAAGGAAAATCAATCTTTACAAAATGAGATAGCTGAATTGAAAGAAAAACTCCAGAAAATTTCCGAAGAATTTTCGTCAAAGAAAGCGGAGCTGACGAAGCCGGACGCCGAGAAGAAAATGTCGTCAGAATGTGCTCATTCGCTTGAATTCGTCTCCAGTAAATATGACGACCTTGTCGCCTTCAAAGACGAAGCGTTGAAGCAAATCAAACAACTGTTTACCGTGGATGAATTTATTTTTCACCAGATTGAGATTAAGAGGGGTGTAAATAGAATTCAGATTACAACTAAACATCCTATAGTTATTTTTTATTTGTTTATTTATTTGTTTACAGATTAGGTGTACTTAGCAAATATATATGAAGGTATATTGCAGAAAAACTTTAATGGGCGACGAAATTTCCTTCAAAGTTAAACTAACCAAAACCAATGCCCATGACCACAAAAACGAAAAAACCAACTGGCCAACTCCTTAACCCAAATTATAACTAAAGACGAATCTAAAATAGTAACAAAATTAAAGTTTAAGGATTGAAGTATCAATGAAACTACCTCCAAGAGACTGTGAGGCCAAAAGAGTTCGATTTTTTTGAAAATTGATCCCCTTTCTCGATCAGTCTTCACATGGACGTAAGGAGAAATTTGCTGAAGGTAGCCTTCTTCTGTTGATTCCTTTAACAGGATAATCTTTTCTGGCCGATCCTGGTCTTTAAAATGAGTCACGATTTTGCGTTCCTTCCCAAACTTAAGCTCGCATATGGTAGACGTTGTACTTAAAACTGAATATGGAAGAAGCTCCTCGCCGAGAATAAGATTTATTAAGCTACTTTTCCCAGATCCCGTCTCTCCTGCAAAGGTGTAAAGTTACAGTAAGCTTAGCTATCGTATTTGACTTTATATAAAACTTGACTCTCGGACGTACACGCAAAGTCATATCTCCTCCGTGGTACAAAAGGGGGCTTGATTGAACCCCTCCCTAGAGTTTTCATATGTTGCAGTAATTCGAATAGATTTTACCTTCAGAGGAAAGCCTTTGATATTTTTTAAAGGATGAGGTATGTTTTATGGGTGGTAGAGGTCTTGTGCTTGACATGTAAAATAACACATAAATAAGTACTTTGCTTAATTTTATCCACAATCTTTACTTTAAAAAAAGACATGTATTTTCACTAAATATTGGCTTGACCAGCTGCTACTTATGACCTCATAACTTGTAACCATGGGAACTAATCATCACTAAACTTGTCTTAAAATGTACGTGCGAGGGATAAACAAACGGCTACTAAAAACGTCAGGTGCTAATGTTCAATCGTCTCTAATCGTGGATAAAGTCATAGTTCAAGTTAAAGTTTATAATCGTTCTATTCTTACCTACCTCAAAACCGTCCTAAACCGTATTTTCAGATATTCTTTTTTCTCGGGGAATAAAAAGGTTTAGTTGGGGAGGAGCTCATTTACTATATTAGCCTCATTTAAAGGGGCGCTAAGCTCTTGTCAAAGTGTTTAAGATAACTGATTCTGACCTGCCACAAGCACAAAGTATTCCCTTAGTGTCAGTTGCAGTTGGTGATTTTCAATCTTCTCCTCTAAATTACCAACACTCTGCTGTAGTAGGGCGCGAATTTTGGGGTCCAGTTTATTAACTAATTCCCCGGCTTCAAAGTAAAGACTCAGCAAAATTCTTCTTTTCTTTATATCATCTTCTTGTGCATCTGTCAAGATGGAAAACGCCTAGGAAAAGAAGTACAAAAAACAAAAACAAGACAAAACTGAATTATAATCAATTCATCAGTCCCGGAAAAAGCGTATCATCAAACTTAAAGTCATAGTTTAAGTTCATCGTGTTCGGATATCAGAATGATGCAATCATTCTTGTAATTATCTCTGCATTTTTTGCTATTTTTTAAATATTTTCTTGAGGCTTTAAAATTCAGTTTTATTGTTGACAAATCCTTTTTTAATACTCGGCGGGTGACAAGAGGTGAAATTAATGTGTGTACTGGAAGGTTTCCGTTTGTGTCTTTACATGTCTTTAAAATGTGTCTTTTTGTCAATACTTTTGCGAGCCACAGAACGAAAGTTGGAAACATTTTGGCATGTCCACTCTACTTGCTGTATACGCGCACTCCCTTCCATTTGACGTGTTTGTAAAAATTTCGTATGCTAAAGCACCAGCGACGGAATCGAAGTCGGAGTCGTGAGCGCTTATGATCTAGTGAAAACAGCGGTGTGATTCCGCTTATGACTTCGCCGCTTATGAACCAGTGAAAACTAGGTTGTCGGAGTCGGAAGCAGAAGCGAAAGAAACAAACCAATCACAAAGCGTGGAAACAAGCATCGTGATTGGTTTATCCTTCCTCAGCCTGCAGAAAATTAGATGCCTCTATGGTACAACACCTATACCCAGTGATTATAGGCCTACCTGTGTCGTTTGCTTTACTAGCCTTTTCTTTCAATTTAGTCCTTGTATCGTTGCTAAATGAGTATTTACCACCTACTTAATGCTACACATTCATATTAAAAAACATCTAACGTATTTGTGGCTATTTTTCCCGCAGCTACATGTATTTTACGCTCAATAAACTAATGTGTGGTCATTTAACTACCGATGTGGTTATTGAACTCTTGTGTGATTATTGAACTAACAAAAAAGAAAAACCGGCCTACATCCTCTCCCGTCGGCTTCACCTTGACAAGGTGTATACAGAACTATAGGTCGGCGGGTACAACGGTTGGTCACGTGATCAACATTCTCCAAACACGAAAACAATGCATTTTGAAAAAAACTATATCAGTTGTTGAAATAGAAGTTAAAAAAGCACATAAAAATTAGTTGACAAGTAGAGAAGCAGATATTGTAAAGCCGACAACCTCGTGAATAATGATGATGCAACCATCTACAGCAATGATGAAACTCGTGGCCTTTCTTAGCTATTCGGTATTCGACGAGCTTCATTATCTTAAGAAACTACGAGGAAACCTTGAAACCCTGCGAGTCTTCCCTCTAAGCAACGTTTGGAGAGTTGATATTCATAGCCAAGGACTTTAACAATTTATTTATTTTGCAAGGAAAGACAAAGGAAAGTGAATCTATAGTATGAGGACCGACTCAGCTGTGCGCAGCGGTTCTCGTTTTCATTAAAGTGCAGCAATACACAATTTGGCACAAAACATAGTCTTAATTTAGGATTAAAACAGTTGATTGTTGATACGGTTACGCTGAAGCATTCGCAATTCAAAATATAGCTCCTGCACGTTAAACGTGCCTATGATATATACTATGCACATGTTCGCTCGAAAACAATGCATTCTCTGTTTGCATTAAGTCATAAAAGTTATACCTTAAACTACCTTATGTTACATCGCTTCGAGATTCAATCTTCCTTGGAACGTTCGCGCATGGCTTTTATCATGTCTCCGCGAGGCTGCTCGTTGGCAATTAGAAGACTTAGATTTGTATGGGAAAACAGATCTTGCCACGCCCAGTAGCCCAGGTTCACAATGACACACTCAGATGGAAAGTTATCAGGGGCACCCAAAGACAATTTTCGGAAAAATATCTGTTCGGAAGACGATTTGAGATCTAGAATTTTCGAAACATTTGTTGCAAAATTTCTTGCTTGCCTGCCTCTCCTAGGATTTTCGAACATCTAAAAAATGGTAAAATTGCCCATTTTCAGGGGATTTTTACCCTAAAAAGGTCACCTAAAAATTTTGGGGAGCCTTTTTTCTGGCTGAAATTTTGGAACGGGTAAGTTTTGATCCGTATAATTTTCGGATCACTAAACTTTCAGATAGGAAATCCGAACAGATGAAAAATTTGTAGGGGATAAAAATACAGTCGACTCCCGATAACTCGAACCTTCAAGGGAAATCGAAAAAAGTTCGAGTAATCGGGAGTTCGAGTTGTCGGGAGCTCGAAGAAAATAGCCCAGAGTAAGGTAAAAAACAGTTTTTACTGCACAGTGAATATTTTAATCACATTTTATTGTAGAAATGTCAAGTGAAAATTAAAAGATACTTCTAGATTATAAATCAGAACGTAACGCAACAAAACATAGCCTGAATAGAGCATGCGTTTTACTGTTTTGAGAAGTAAAGCTGCTCCACGTTAGCCTGTGACCATCAACATTAGCCTCCACTAGTGAACTATACTCCGAGAACACGTCAGTAGGAAATCCAAAATTCGATGTTTCGGACGCCAGTAGACGGCTTTTCCCCCGACTTTTTAAGGGCTCAAAACATGATTCGAGTTATCAAGAGTAAAATTATATAGAAAATGACCTGAGGGGAAACGAAAGTTGGTTCTAGTTAGCGGGAGTTCGAGTTATCGGGGGTTCGAGTTACCGAGGGTAAAATTACAGTGAACGTATGACGGAAATCCAGGGGAAATCGATTTTGGTTCGAGTAAGTGAGGGTTCGAGCTAGTTATCGGGAGTCGACTGTATGCCCATATCCACTGTTTAAATACTAAAACACGTTTAACAATGCTATGTTTAAGTGGTTTTGAACTATATTCTCGTTGGGTGCCCCTGAGTTATTTCCACAATATTTTAGAGATCGACTGGCTTCTGTGATATTTATAATCTTCATACATTCTTTCAGTGCAATTGTGTCACCTCGGAAATAAGAAGATGGTCCTTGATTTAGAGCCTTTCTGGTAAACAACTCAGCCTGTGTTGATGCGTAACACGGAAGGAGGAGAAAGCAGCAGGGAACGAAGGCGCGCCAGAACGGGATGGGTGCGCTGTCGTATTAGTCGTATAAACTACGAAAGTCTAAGTCTGAGCGATTAAGATTTTTAGTTTCAATTTTGTGTTAAAGGTACTATAGACTTCTGCATAGATATGAAGGAATAACGCATTGGTAATAAAAAATGTGCCATTTGATATTTCGAGTCAGCATGAAGGGTCAAATGCAATCGGAGTAGCACGCAATTATAAACCTTAACTCCGTTATTTGAAACTAAAACGAAATATCAGGCACTATAATCCTCAAGTTTCTACAAAGAATGATTATTTCCCCTGTCTTTTAGTTCTACGCACGCTAATGTCTGGTTCTCCGCAAAAAGATGGGCAAAAGCTAAGTCCGCCACAAGGATGTTAATTAATCGGCTTGCAGGGGAAGGGACAGCTGAAATAAACAGCTCGATCGTATACTGTCTTTCCTGTATAAGCTACAATTTCGCAGTCATGTATATGATAAAGGATAATCAGCTACACATTAAGTAACGAATAACCTACGTTTCCACTGGATGCGCCAGGAACCTAAAACGTTCTTTAGATTCAGTGGACAATGAGTACGAGATCGAGCACGAGTAATAGTTTGTAAACCACTCAGTGAAACTCATCTACCTCATATCGCGGGTGCGATTTATCGCACCGACGAAATCACTTCAGCTAAACGAAACTTCACTTCAGAGGATGCGAAAATTTTGCTAAGATGACAATGAAATTTCGTTTGATTCAACGAAAATTCGCGGGCGCTTTAGCGAAATTTCGTGACGAACGTTCGTTGAATTTTCGCGAGAACAAAGGACGCAATTCTGCGAATCTTGCTTTCAATACTCTTGCACACCACTATAATTACTCAACTATCACATCAATACTAGCCCTAACAACTACTCTTGGGGATACAAGAAGCTCCAAATTCCAAAGTCGTACTCGTCTGACTCGTAATCGATTTCGTACTCGTTAATTACATGAGCAATGCAAACGATTGATGCAAAATATTTTGCCCATGACAACCAGTACAACGCGCAAACTGAAATGAGGAATTATTATAGCATTCTTACCTGACCTGCACTCCAATTGGGTGATTTTGAAGACTGGTCTATTGTAGATTTTACTCGATCTTTCATATCTTGCAGCGTTTGCAACCCTTTCGAAGAAATGTCAAGCGCCGCCATCGCCTCAAACATCTCCCCTATGTCGTCGATTTCATCTATGCTTTTTGTTTTTCTCGCAGCCATTTGAATGAGATTTCGGTTAAATTTGAGGAAAATGAAATTTAAGACGAAACCGTTTGACTGCGAAAAATCCTATTTCCCATGATTTCTATAGTATAAATCAATCGTAAATAGCCATTCTAAGAATTGGCGTATTTGAGGTGGGGCGACAGAAATCCGGGGGGTGAGGGTATCTTACAACAGGGTATATACTTCATGCCAGGGTACAATTACCGAAGAAGGCAGTTTGTGTTTACTGAGAAAACACAAGTGTCTTGGCTTAGTGGAAAACATTAACAAAAGAATTGACGACAACAAATGACTTCTTAATCAGAAAGTAAAGTTGACTGTGATCAGGTTACGTCGTCATTTTGCCTTCACTTGGACTCCCTTTTGATGAAACAATGGAGGCTATAAAACGCAAGATCGAAGAAGCTGATGATATAGCTGATGTTACTACTTTGATGATCAATCTAAAAATTCCAACCAAGGGATGCAAAACCCTTCAACAGATGGCAGATCGGATCTGCAAAAATCTAAAGGATCGGAGTGAAAATTTGGACCCGAATAAGGTAATGCTGGTTGTAATAAGTATGTCGCGAAGTAGCGTCTTCATATACGCCGCCTGGACAACTGGCCTCAGTCGGCTAAATTTGGGAAGAACGGCTAGCTCAGTCATCGAGATCTGACCTCGATCCTGGTTTCACGCAACAAGGATATAATTAACAGTGAATTATACTTCAATGATATGTATATCACTAAAGGCGTTTTCATTTCTCAGAAAGAAGTCGAACGTTCATGACTTGACAGATTATTAGGGGGTGGGGGACCGATGTTTGCCTATAGCCTCTTTCGGCTAGCTCTTTACTGAAAATGATATTATTATTGCTAAGAATCGAGACACATTTGAAATGACCCAATAACAGTCAAGTGATGAGTCTTTTTTTAAATTTCTTAGAAATGTTCCGGAAGTTATTGGGTGTGGTATCGAGTGTGGATTCAAGCATTTGCAATTAACTTGTAAATCGTACCACTATAACTCTCTAATACATCGTTTTTCTGCGGTTTTTTAATTAGTGGCATATGCTTTCTAATTTTTGTTTCCGTTCATCGAAATTTGGAAGTATTTTACTTCACGCAAAGTCTCACAGAGGTATTTTAATTTAAAGGCGACTGACCAGACGCGATCACACTTTGCTAAACAGTGTACACAGTCAAGGTAACTTTTTTCATCACACATTGTCTGAACGATTACTTATAATCTATATGCTCGCACTATTTGAAAGCTGATGATTTTACATTGCACGAATGATTGTGGCAACAAGAAGAAATTATTATCAGGATGCGTGTATTTTGCCGATCCAAAGTGGGCACTGAGACTCTTCGAGTAGGTGTGACGTACGATGGCATGCAAGTTAAGCCTTGCATTATTTCTTCATATACTTGTCTAATAATTTGAATAACTTTTGTAACCTCAAGCTTGTACTTTTGGAAAAGCGTCTTTAGTTTTCAGGCAGACGGTATTTTGAAATCAGATGGGGATTTTATATCAAACTGAAAGTTTCCTGACTGCGTGCATTTCTTTGGTGCGTGATCCAGACAAGCCGTGATCGCGACAATTATAGTGGTCGTGTACGAACTCGCGAAAAGAACTCAGGAGAGACTGTTCGCCGATTGGGCACAATAATACAAAGCATTTTTTGTGCCCAATCAGTTGCCGGCATCTGCTTGAATTTTTGGAAATAGTTCGGTGAGAGTCGGTACCCAGGGTCTCTTTCGCCCGTACTTGAAAACTTTCGTCCTGCCTTTTCTCCCGACCCGACTGACTGCCCCTGGGTCTCCGAGGATGGAAATGGTTACGATGACGTAAAGACAGAAAATCCCGAAGGGACCGCTTACAATAGGTAGATTTTGTGACATTTATTGTCCAGTCATATTTCGTTACGAGTTATCAGCGACATTCTGTGGAGCAGTTGTTTTGAAAGTTGTGAACCAAAAGACACTGGTTAAGCGCAGATGAAGTTATAAGGTGCGTATATAAAAACTCTTTTTAAGAGTAAATTTTTTCCTAAAAGAAATAGAAAATGGCTCCAAAACGGCTAACTCTATTTTCTTTAAAATATCAAGGAGTTTTCGCCCATTTTCGAAATGTTTCGATTTTTTCAGTAAAGATTTGCGAAGACTTAAAGGGAGCGTTAATTTCCTCTGTAATAAGAAAAATGATCAACAATTAAATTAAAAAATCATTTAAAAGATTATTTCTGGGAGAGCACTTAGTAATCAACCTATCACGTCCGAGTTGCATTATTAGAGGTGGACGTTTCGAAGTTTTTCACAAAACAGCGCGGCGCACCAGGCATTTTTCACGCCTGCATGACGCATAAAATCTGGAGAAATTTTCCTCTTACGCAGTGCCTTTAACTCATTTGCTCAATCGTCAGAAATTATGATTTTAACATATCAATCCAAGAGGTAGTCTCTTCCAAGTTTCATTTTGACATGAACAGCAGTAACTAACAATGCATTTGAAAGATGCAGAAATGTTACCTATTGTTGTCAACTAAAATGTGAATTTGGAGACAACACACCTTTACGAATAATGAGAGATCTTGAAGAGAGTCTTGATGAAATAAACCTTGGCTTCTTTATACAGAATTCTCCGCTAACACATTATTTGAAGTCTTGTTAAATCTATTGATGCCGTTAGAGATTGAATTTGCGCCCAGGCAATTTCTTAATTTCTTCGAGGCGACTTGATGATTAGAAATATCTCGGCTAATGAAGTGTGTTCTAGTGGGTGTGTGTGTTTTTACGCCAAAAATGGTGTACCCTGTGAGCAAACTCTGCGGATCGCTCTGCTGCCGCGGCGGGCAAAGGAAGGAGAGCTTGCAGCTATACGTCTAAGGGATAGAGAGGACAAGTCGTTACGACACTTTGCCATGGCAGAAAAATTTTGGATGACAACAAACCAAAAAAATCACTCAAAAAGTGAATTTGCTTTGCTACAAACTTCATCGATCTTATTCAATTCTATTTAATTTGGCAAATCTTCGCTAACTTTTCTCAGGTTGAATCCGAAAAGACCGTATCTAAGTTTAGAAAAAGAAAAAAACAACTTTCCTGTTGTGTTCACCTACTCCATAAAGCGTGGGTATGAAATTAGGGAGTTCCATGTCGCAGTGGTGCATCGACGGCAAAGAAATGTACAAAGTAGAGCGATGCAAGTGGAAATTTTTTGTTGTTAACAAAACCCGATTACTTTTTTGCCGTTTTTTTTTTGCCGTCGCCGTCGTCGTTGGTTTTGTTGTCATCCAGAAATAGTGCAACCATGTTAACGTCACACTTCTATTTCAATATCTGCATTGAAAAAGCCGATGCAAAATGCTGATTGGCGAAGATGACAATAGTAATGACGTCATTACCCTGGGCTCGTGTTTTTCAATGTTTGTTTACATTCGCGCTCGTTTCCGCTTCTTGCTGATTGGCGGGAATCTAGTACTTGAACAAGTTAAACTTGTGCTTAAAACTCAAAATTACGTATAGTTGTACCGTGGCCCCTTTTGACGCTAACGTCACAAAAGAGAAAGCGCATATGTAATAGTTGTCAAAACCCTTATAACTTGAAAATGAGGTCAAGTGAATTGGATCATACCATCCCCTTGTTCCTTTTGGTCTTTTAATTCATCTCATCTTGGGTCTTGGATTCATCGCCAATATTTTGTGCATGGATGTATATACTTTTAGAGTGCATGATGGAGTTTCCAGAAGAAATGAAGAAAAAACATATCATTTGACTCATTTTTTTGCCTATTCGGTTTATTTAAACTTCCTCTGACAACAAAATGAGAAGTATCCATACTCTGACAGCATCAACATTATCAGCCCACATGGTAGCATCAGTTCTAAAATAATAAGATTTATGTCGAGGAACTTGTAATCCTGAAATAAGAGGAAAAAAGCGGGCGATCGATTAATACTCACATCGACATTCCACTATAACCGCCTGTGCGTTTAATTGTGTGTCAAGTAATATATCAAACATGAGATGCAGTGTTTCATCACCAGATGAAACACCGAGAAGAGAGTTGAAAATACGACGCACAGCGGAGTATTTTTGACGAACTTCGAGGTGTTTCATCTGGTGATGAAACACTGTGTCGAATGTTTGATATTACTTCTCAAACAAAATCATTTTTGAAGGAGAAATTAAGGATGCAAATACTAAGCAGTGTTTCATCCGATTTCCAAACACTCATTAAACATTAATTTCCTTTGCATTTTCTTAATGAATTATTAATGAGTTTGAGAAGACTATTTCCAATGCCAAATTTTTTACTTCCCCGAATGCCCAAAATTTATTAGCAGAGCTCATCTTGTAGACAATGTTTTAGGCAGTTTTGACGCCATCTTTTTGGCCCGATAGTGGACCGTGCGTGAAAAAGCGTTGTTGACAAATTTAATCTCACGGAGAAAACTTTGTCGACTTTTTGATCGAGGATATTCTCAAGGGTTTCGGTTCCACGTATGCTCGAAATATAGCAGCAGACTAGTAAGCAATGTTACAATATTTTGGGCAGTTTTGGCCTCATCTTTTTGGCCAGATACTGCAGCTCATTGACCTGCTTGAAAAGCCAGCGATTTTTGGAAAAATCTGTAGGAGAAAACTATTTCCATTGCCAAATGTTCTACTTCCGCGCAGGCCCGAATTTTAGCTGTAGTGCTCGTCTTGTAGACAATGTTTTGGGCAGTTTTGACTCCATCCTTTTGGCCAGATTGTGGACATGTCTGAAAAAGCGTTGTTCAACAAAATCTCCACGAGCAAATTTTGCCAATTTTTTGACGATATTCTCAAGGGGTTCAGTGACACTTGGGGATTTTGTAAATAAAAAAAAGTAACAATTCCCAAGTTACACTGATTGTACAGCTACAGAGATGCGATAAATAGTTTATGCATGTACGTGTTAAGTTAGTATGCTATATTTTTTGAAGATATTCGTAGTAAAAGAGTGTTAGTGTAGAGAGATGCGAAGAAAAAGGGGACGCACTTCAATACGTTTAGCCTAACTGTGGCCTGTAAATCGAAGGAGGACGTCGTTTATTTGAAGCTGAGCACTAATTCGTTCATCGTTTGGCGTTTTCATGAGAAGACGGAAATCTACTGATAACTCCTGACTGATAATAATTTAGATACTTACAGACACAGAAGCTGCAAGTCTTAAGACACTTTGAATATACTTGTTGGAGATAGCAAAAACGTAAAGAGTTCAAACAAGTTGCCTCGGGTACCTCATCTTTACACTCTGAAATAAATAATAGAAAGTTTGGCTCACAATTAGTCTATTTCCGAGTACAAACAGGCAAAAATTTCTATCTCAAGATCTCTTATCCACTAATCAGTGATTTATCTGTTGGAGAGCGCTATACATCGTCCCGTTGAAAACATGAGTTCAGACCAATAGGTGGAGTGGTAGGAAGGATTCAACAACTTTTGATGTGTCAGTGATGGCTTGGAACTGTCATGCGTTGATTGCAGTCCTTTGGTTCCGTTGGAACCAATGAACCAGTTAACCAAAAGAGTGCAGACCCCGCAGTTCCAAGCCGCTGTGATATATCAAACTTCAGTTGTTGCCGGGATAACAGGTGCAGAAAAAGTTGTTAAACTAGTGAGATAAATACCGTCGATCTGTAGCGGAGACCCGCGTAAAGCAGACGAAGTGTCCGCAAACGGTGCTTTATTGCCACTTGTGGAAATGTTTTTTTGTGTGTGTGTGTGTGTGTGTGTTTTTTGAGGGGCGGGGGGAGCGTTTAATGCTATGTTCATACTATATGGGATATCTCTTCGTGCCACACGAAAGCAATCCGGTACGTCAACACCTATCCGATATTTGACCCTCCACGTTAGAGACCGACGCAGCGCAGCTTCGCTCCTTCACAAAACGCGCCGAAATTACCGTTCTTATGTCTGAACAGAAGCCCTATCCCGTATGGTTTTCGTGCTCACGCAGACACTCTCCGGTTTAGTGTGAACATAAACTAGACGTGATTTTGTCAAGACGGCTGTAAGTCTGTCCGCTTATAAAAGAGTCCCGTAGAGAGAGCTGCGACACCGACACGTGTGTGTACATCCTTCCTTTTTCAGTTGGATTAAAAATTATATTTAAAGCAGTTAAGAGCATTACTTTCAGTTGACATAAATAAAGTTCAGGAGCTGTGGTAGGTTTCTCATTATAACCTGACAAATAAACGATACTTACCTTTGTTATTATCTCCATCACCTGCACCTGAAAGTAAAATAGTTATAAGCTGTGCTATGTAATAAACGTACGTATAAAATATAAAAAAAATGCAGTTACTGTGTTGAACTTAACTGACATATAAGACACAAGAGGAAACTCCAGATTAGTGTAGGGTAAGAAAATGAGCGGTGCCTCTACTTCTTTTTAATCAAGTGATACATACAGCATTTAATAACGAAACTAGATAAGGATTCTTTCGCAATTTATCAAAAAAACAATGTACGTATTGAAGCAGGGCATTTGCCAGTGCAGTTTAAGTAACTATTTCATTCAGCCGAAGTGCACTAAAGGTCTCAGTGACACCATGCCCTGGCTTCGGAAAGGTACTCCCTCCACCAACATTCCCGGGGCTAACAGAAACATATCCATTTGCTCTATAGGATACGTCAGGAGCCCTTAACCAGGAGCGAGCCACTCCCATACTACGGCTATGTTACTGCGTTTTTACGGAACAGTTTATTTTTAGACACATTATAGGGCACTTTTTTCCGCGAAAATATGAGCGCATTCGAAGTATAAGATACCAAAAAAGAAAACTAAACGTTATTAAAAGGCAAAAAATATCATTTTTAGGTCTGTAAGTTTTGCTGATTGGTTTGTGGAATTTAAAAGATATTCAAATCTCGTGCCAAAACCGTTCTTAAAATAAACTGGTTCGTGAAAACGCCGTGACACGAGCACATGGAAGTTGCTCGCTCCGGGTTATGGGCTCCTGGATACGTACAGGAGCCTCATGCATAACCAGAACCACAAGTGCGCGACTTCCATGTACTCGTGACAAAGACTTTTAACAAATCAGTTGATTTTTAAGACGATTTCAGCGCAAATTTAGAGTTTCACTTCCCGCAAAGCTGTCAGCCGCTGGATAAGGGTAACGCTGACTCTGGGAACGAGATTGATGCCCTTATGGGGTGGAGCGGAGCTTTCGTTTTCGCGGAAAAAAGTACTGTAAACGGGCAACTCAAAAAATAATCCGGTCCCTGAAAACGTCGTCACAATAGACCAATTCCGGTATATTAAAATTCATACTTCGGCTGCGAGGCTTGGGGGAATAAAACAAAAGAAATCATCTTAAGGTTCAGCAATGAATAAATCAGAAATACATTTCTTTTGTTTTATTTCTCCAAGCCTTGGAGCCAAGTATGAATTTTATTTATATATCGAAAATGGTCTATTAGGCCTAGTATTGGAATGATCAGAGATATGAGTTCCTGATATGATAACATGCTTTTTCTGCTTAGAAGTGACAGTAAGTAATACGTTTTTTAATTCACCTACTTGCAATCTGGTTCTCGATCCATGTCATGTATGAGCTGACACGAGCGTACATAGAGTAGTTATCTGTTTTGCACTTTCTATCTCCAGTCCAGGATGCCACACCTCGCAGAACCCAACGCCCATTCTCTTCACAAACAAGGGGACCTCCACTTTAAAATAAACATGGCTTTGTTCATCATTATAGGTTAACTATTATCCTACAAATAGTTATGCAGGAGTAAAATGTTGAAGTGTCTGAGTATTTTCATGTGAAATAGCTTATTCATAATAGGCAAGGATTTTTCAAAAGTAAGTTATAGCTACACTGTAATTTTCAGGGAGTTATAATAACTCCTCTAGTGGGGCTAATTTAACTCCTTACAGTGGAGTTATTTTTCGTAGAGTTATTTTAACTCCAAAAAGGAGTTTAAAGAACTCTTTTTCAGGAGTAAAAGTGACCCCACATATTGAGGAGTTAAAATAACCTCAAAAAAGGAGTTATCCTGTACCTAAAATTTTTACTCCACTTTCAGAGTTAAATTAACTCCAAAAAGAGTAAAAACAACCCATGTAAGGAGTACAAGTAACCCCATTTCGAAGTGATTTTAACTCCAGACTGGGAGTAAAAAGAACTCTTTTTCAGGAGTAAAATGACCCCAAATTGGGAGTTAAATTAGGAGTTAAAATAACCCCAAAAAAGGGGTTATCCTATACCTAAAATTTTTACTCCATTTTTGGAGTTATAATAACTCCCTAAAAGTTACGATGTACTGTCGAAATAAAACAAAATCTTATCATGCATTCGAAAACCATCATGGCACTTGAACTGAATTTCAGGAGTTTTGAAATAGTGTCAGGGAAGGCAGTTAAGACACTTCTAAAAAATATCGTACGATAATACTCTTGCTATGAACAGGATCAGCTCCACCGATAGTATTTCCCCGGTAGAACTACGAATGTAGTAGAAAGATTGCTCTGAAAAGTTAAAGTAGCTGTTTAATAGTATTATGTGTTCAAAGAATCTTTTATGCTTAAAAATATTAATAACACAAATTGCCCATACACGGTAATTTTAAAGCTACTAGTAGCTAGGTTTAAATGGTACGTTGCGGCGGCACAGGGACTAAGATATGTTTAGTTAGCACACCCATCGAGTACGTGTCATGGTCAGCCCAGTCCCAGCAGGAAACCATGTAGTCGATTGTCGATCGTAATCATATTTATTCGCAGAAGTTCTCAACAAAAATAAAAAACGTCTTTGTTTATATTTGTTTTTCTCCTTAGCGATGGGGAAGGCACTCAATTCCGTTTACGGTCATGAAATTGAGATTTTGCAATATTGTACCAAACGCAACTTTCTTGTTGAGCTTGGGCTGCCTGCATGTGTTCGAATGGTGATAGAAAAACTCGGATACGTTTTGCGTCACCTACCTATATACTTACGGGGATTAAAGTTCAACATCAAACTTTTATCACTGCGAACTAAGATTACTGAAATTACCTATCTCCATGACATGCAACTTTTCCTGCACCACCGACACAAACCATGGATTGATCGTGCACTTTACTTCCCGCCTTTTGCGCACAGGTGTTGTAGTCGACCACTGGTACATTGGCTTGTTGGAGATGACTGGGTGGTTTTGCATTGCCCCAAAAGCTGAATCGTTGAGTTCCCCAACCTAAGTAAAATCGATTCAATGATTACTTTATAGATATTTTACCTCTCGTGGCCATCAATTTTAGTTTTTGTTTAAAAACAGCAAGTAAAAGTTTCTACACAAGAAAACAGTTCTTTAAGGAATATGACAGAAGTGACGTCATGTCGATGTTAATGGTGAAAATGTCTTAATCCAAAGCCCGGCTTTATATGGGTGAAATGATTTTAGTTTAAAATGATATATTCATCGTACTCTGATACTAGTCACAAACCATGTCGTTTCTTTCGGTGCCCATAAAGTCATTTACACCCAAGCCATTCAGCATTTGCAGTCTCCTTAATATTAAACAATTAGGAATGGGCTTGAGGTGGGAAGTAAAAGGGAGACAAAGGGCTGCATACATTCTACACCACACCGTCCTCGCAGATGAAAGGTTTTCTCGTTATCTCAGAGATAAAACTGTGATTTTTGTCATTCTTACATTTTACAAGAAGAATTGAAAAAATCTCCTTTAAAAACTTATGTCAAAGGAACGAGACAAGGAAGATGCAATTTTTTATGTTGGCAATTCGTGGTTAAAACCATGAATTGCCAACAGTTCAACGAGCAGTCTCTTTCTTCTGCTTCCCCTCCCCCACTCCCACAAAAGGTCATGCACCGGCGGAAAGTGGTAGAATCCCCTCCCCTCCGCGTCCCATAGGCGTACGGGCAATTTTTTGCCAGGGGGGGCGGTAATCCATTTGCCCAAAAAATTCTTGCAAGTTGCCCAAATTTTTACAAAACAGTCGAAAGGAAGCTAGGGCCATGCAACAAAATAGGCCGTACTGGCATATGAAAGTGGCTCGATACAGTTTTTCAGAGTCAATACCTGCCAAGTTTGAGCATAAACTACGACGCCACAAACAAGCATTTGGAAAAAATTGCCACCACAGTTGTATTAGATAAAGAGGGAAATTTGTCATGATCAGGATTGCAATGACATCGGAGCTGTCATAGCAACGAAATGACGCCATTACCTATTATACTTGCAGCAATATTTCTCACTTGGAACTGTTCTTACAAAATCGTTTATGGGAGCTCTTTCCTCCAATAGTCGCCTCGATGTTCATCAAGTTAAAACGGAACCGTAAGAGCGTTATCGAGATATTTTGGGATGAAGTTTTTATTGTTAGAAATAAGGTAACAAAGGAAAATCTTGATGTTTAGTCGTAATCTGAAGAAAACGGAGCGCTTTTGACATGCAATTTCACCTCACAGTAGTTTCAATCTTTTTATAAACGTGTGTGAAAGATCATGGACATAGTTCCTGCCAATTGCTATAAGGAAGGATTTGATTAGCGCTCGATCTTGTTAGGGGTTTTGTAAACATTTCGGTCTACTTAAACAAATTAGTGAATAATTTTTAAACCGCTTGATAGATTTTTTTTAAAAAAATTATGATTCTTCTCGTAATTCAAACTGGGAATTAGTCAGCCACTTCACTTTCAGACCCATTGCTGATGCGTGTTCTCCCACACACTGTTCTAGGAGCGGAGGTGATTCTAGAAAGTTATGCGGAAGTTTATTATGCAGTGATTATAATCAATTCACGACTGGAAATAGCCCATTCCAGCTAGTACAGTGAAGTACAGTGCCCAAAGATAAAAAAAATCAGCATATAATACCCTTCCCTTATAACCAGAAACTCATCCCGTGCTAGGCAACCACTGTCTCGTGTGAACGTAACTGAATTATTACGTCGACTTCTGGTTAAAATAGAAAATATTTATCTCTTCAAAATAATAATAATAATAATAACAAACATGGAAACGTCTTTAAAAACTGGTTTTGCCCAAATTTTCTCTTGCTGCCCAAAAAATCTGAGTTGCCCAAACTTTGGGGGGGCTGCAGCCCCCCTCGCCCCCCCGGCCCGTACGCCTATGCCAACAAGTTTTGCGTTACGGGCCAGCACAATGGCGCTGATCGAGTTGGAATCAATCACTAAAAACAAGCACCCCGTTTCCTGTATTTTATAAACTTGACAAACCTGAAATCCAGCATTTTGTTCCTGTAGCAACACGTGTAATTTTCCTTGGAAAACACACCGTTCCCACTTTGGGACCAAGTTGTACAGGTTTGACCAGTCTCATCAACGCGATATCATTCCTGAGGTGGGACATGGAAAAACCAGCATGCATGATTATTTTGTTGACGCGATATACAACACCGTCTCCTTGAATTCGGTGCGCCCCTATTGAATGAATTAGAATTAGAAACCAAATAGAATGAATGATTTGAATGCTATGTGTGCACTTGGGCTACAATCTGGCTACAGTATTTTACAGACCTGTAATTTATTCGGCCCCTTTAGTGCTAATGTCAACTGGGTGCCTGGCTCCACTAGCCCTGGGCCCAGTTGCTCGAAGCATGGTTAGCGTTAACCAACGTTTAATACCTTGACAACGTATTGGTTTTGATACTGCTTAACCAATGTTAAAGCTAACCATGCTTTGAGCAATTTGATTGTGAGACAAGGGAGACTCTACAAATTCTATTTTCAATATTGTTTGTTGTTTTTGTTTGAATTAAGGAAATATGTGAAACATTATTTTGTTGTTGTTTTTTTGAATTAAGTCCTTATGTGAAAAATGATATTTCATTGCCTTGTGTCCTTGTTTAAGGTTAACTTTATCACAGGATTAAACGCGTTGATGCGTTCATTAAAAGAAATTATCATCAAAATTAACACCTGGTTAAGAGGCTGAAGGGTATAAAACAAAAGAGATTAAAGAAATTAACATTCTTTAAAGGATTTATAATTTATTTCTTTTACTTTTATTTCCCCTGGTCTCGGGGTCTGGTATGAATTTTGATCATTCGAAACTGGCATATTTCGGCTACCTTTTTCCAGTATTTTTACTGATCTTGATCGAGCATTTATGGTGGCGTCCTATAAAGGATATCTAAAGTACTTTTTCTAAATGAAACTTTAGTGGGATTTTGCAAAACGTAACCTGAAAAATAGACCTTTTCCGTTTCACACCCTTTTTTTTAAATCTTCGGCCAAGTAGCAATTATAAAACTAAGAGTGCAACCATTGCCGTTTTCCTCTTCTCCTCCGGGCTTGCTTCCTTCTTTCCTTTTCCTATGCTAGTGTGATTTTCGAACTTATCGGGCGCAAAACCCTTTTTAACTCAAATGGCTCGCAAATTTCGTCAGGTTCGTTTTCAAAAAATCTGCTGCAACTGGGGAGGTGACCACCAAGGGTAAGCTTCGCCATGTTGTCGAGCTTATTCTAAATCTTCTTATCTGCTTCATTCTCAACTGATCTTTTTAGTCGACTACCTATAATGCTCCGAGAAACGAGAATGCCATAACCCACTTGGGTGTGAGTCGACTAATGATAAACAGTGACGTATTCGTTATCCTACGCCCGATCTCGGTATCAAGGCTTGAAATTACATTATAAGGCACATGTGATCGTACCTACCAGCAACTAGACTATAAACGTGGGGATCATAATAACTGTCTACACAATGAGCTGCTGTAACAGCCCATTTAGGACTTATTAGTGAAGCTCCACAATTGTGAACGCCCATTACTCTCAGAGAAAGCTGCCAAGGCCAGGAATTGGGAGTCGCTGTTGACCCGCCTATTATTCGAACCCCTGGGCGTTGCCCGCAACCTGTTGGGAAAAAAAAAGAAAAGAAAGAAAAGAGGGCAACCTGTGGCCTGTGCAGTGTAGCCTGAACGCAAGGTAGCAATATCCAAATGGAGAGCTTTAAATCACAGGATAAAACAGGTTGTCTTATATGTACATCAGGGCTCGAAAGAAATGGCTATAGGTGAGTAAGAATTAAATAAAGATTCCTTTTCCTCCTATCTCTTAATCTGCATCAAAGAGCTTATTAGTTTTTGATAATTGATAATTGAGACTGATTTGGTTGTGACTACCGGGGTCTTTAAATCAATTACTTTAGCTCAGAATTAGCAAATACCTTTTGTCATACACTTTTCGCTCTGTACTAAGTGAATTGTTACTTAACGTGACAATAGAAAAGGTTTAATTTCTAGTGATCATATATTTTATAGTGCGTTTTTTTTTTATAACTCTTCAATATTGTACTTCTAAACATAGCAAATGGTTTGAAGCCAGATCAGAAGTCGTGTCATAAGTAGATGGAACAGAACTGTCATGGTTTTTGGGAGGCTGCCGATAGTCTTTAAGATCATTTTTAGCGTCTCTGCTAGCTGGCTTTACTCCGTTTTTCACGTTGTCTTCAGTTATCGCTTATTTTCTTTTGTCTTCTCTTACCTTCAGAAAGGGCAGGCCCAAGTACAAAAACGATAAACCCAACAACAGCGTACATTATCTTGTACTCATAAACAACAGTAACAAAAGGAAAATCGACCCTTAAATGTACTAACATAATGCAGCTGTCACATCTGCTAGTGAACTTGTGAAAAAAGCTTAAGCTGGGACAATACCAGCTAAAAAGCTGTGTTATCATTTAATAAACGTAAAAATTATTAAATTTGATGTGTTTTATTCAGCTGAAAAGAAGAACAATACGTCTATCATGATGATAAAGAGAATAATAATGGTGCTTTTAATAAGTCAGGGACGATGAAATGTGGCGATCAACAAAAAGCACTTTACGTTGTGATCTGATCGTTCGTGAAAAGTCAGGCGTACTATCAGGTAGCCCGCCAAGCAAGCGTTTTTAGGAGAGTTGTGTTGCCCTTCCTCGATGGGGAGGGAGGAAATACGAACTCTCCAAAAACGCAGCCGGGCCCGAGCCAGATCAATTTTTAACAGTTAGAAAATGTTACCAATGCTCTTATGGTTGACAAAGAGCACAAACTTTGTCTTTACTACTCAAAACGACTTGATAAAATATCACCAGCTATCCCTTCGATGATATAATATTTAATATTTATATAGCGCAAATTAACATACGGCAACCTATAATATTTAATATTAGTTTATATGGTGCAAATTGACATACGGGAGGATATGATCAAATGTGGTTCAATCCCTTTATTCATACTCGGTTGAGAAGGAGACTAGGGGCGCTTAACCATTTGTCAGCACTGGCTGGCCAGAACATGTCAACGGTCAGGAGAATTACACTATTAATATGGACTATCCAGTAAGATCCGTTTATTCCTAATTAATGGTATGTATGCACTGTAGTCAGGTGATGGGTTTGGTAAAAATTTTGAGAAAAGATTAATATTTCCTTTTCAATGTTACCGGTCTGGCCAATAAGTTTTGACTTCTGGAAAGCGCTTTAAGACAGCCTTATCAAAGCACTAACAATGACTATAACATGATTCTTTAACAAATCAGTAATTATAATTAAATGGACTACCATTTAAATGTAAACAGCGCAAAGACGGTTTGCAATTTAACAACTTGATGTTATTCATTTTAACATAACATTTCGAAGGAATGAATTGAAGTCATGGATGGATGGACATGCGCAGGAGCCGGCCCTGTATTGGCCTTTCATAGTGCCTCGTTTGTTTGGACGCATGATGCATCTTGGGCCCGTCTTTATACTCGAGACATAACCAAACGAACCACAAATGTTTGTTCAAGTTCGTCAAGAAAGCCCGGACATAGATAATGCGGCTTTAGCAGAAGAGCATTAGCCGTTTGTAAGGATAATGCGTGCTCCGATGCGGCCAATTTTAAAACGGCCTACGTTCTTGCAACCTAATATGTTGGTGAAGGCCTTTTGTTTCGTCAGACGCTTAGCTTGATATGGGGTTTGAAATGTCAAATATGTTAAAGTAATTTATATATTTCACTGTAGTAACAGTTTGGGCACATGAACAGTTCGGCGTCTGAATTAAAGCCGTCCCGAATTCGAGCAAGTCTAGGCTAAGTCGAGCGAGGCTAAGTCTAGCCTCCCACGCAAGCGTTTTTAGGGTAGTCGTATTTCCTCCCTCCCTCACCACTCTCCTAAAAACGCCTGCGTGGCAAGCGTGGAGGAGGTGGGGAATGTATGTGTCGTCCCAAATCAATGTAAATTGCCATTCCTTGTTGCTATGTAACATACTTTTTTATTGCGTGATTGCGACGTTCTTACAGGGTACCGGCCTCATAAATAACGCCGCGACTATTTGGGCAATAGCAGTAAAAGAAAATGCCATATATCAGACAAGGCTTTTAATTTTTAGTATCTTTGTTTGTTGTGAAAATTACGTTGAAATGTTACCCAAAGTAAAATGTTGCAGCTTCTTAATTTAAATAAACTTAACTTTACAGGAGAAACTGCCGGATTTCCATCTACTTCGCTGCACAGCTAATTAAACACCGATCGCTACGAGTCAACGCTTAGCTGATACAGCCATAAGACTCAGTCAGAACGTTCAATATAACAATTGTTTTTGAAAAAATGGTAACAGAAAGAGGGAATTTCTTTGTCCCATTGAATTGGCTTTGTTAAGAAGGCAAATGAATATTTCAGTCATTCAACGCCACAACGAAGCCACATCATTAATCTTCTCTTAAATATCTTACACCGGGAATGGACGTTATGTTTTTGTCACTGAAATGTCTTTGCTTCCAATGGAACCACGAATTAACATCTTGTATATCTCGAACCAAAAAAAGAAACTAAAACAGAAAAGAGAATGTCAACTATGTTTGCATTTGGAAGTTTCCTTTCCAGAAGCTGATAAAAGAAAGAAAGCGTGATATTAATAAGACAGACATTCTTATCGACATCCAAATGCATACATGATTTCCAAGGTAACAGACAGGTGTCATGTGTATGAAATTGTGTCAGGGGATTAGAATCCAAGAGGATGAGCAGGGACTGTGTTCATGTTTCTTATGACTTCCGTTGCTATCCTTGCCATTTTCGTGTCATTGGAAAGTTTGTTGGAGTCGTGTAACGAGTCTAGATTCTGTCTAATCCGGTCAGCAGCCTACAAAGATAAGAACAATGACATGAGTAAGAGTTTACCCTTGGACATTGCTAGGTGTTTCATGGCGACGGCTGTCGCTTCCAGCACATCCGCGCTCATGTCGCGCGCTCTAGGGACTAATCGTCACTGGCCCACCGATCATTGTCAGATCTCGTGAGTAATGAGATCAGCTGCAAAGTTAACCGGAATCAAGGTCAAATGCAACTCCTCTACGCACTGTGTACTTAGGAACTGTTTCATGAAAAGACTTGAGTTGGCTCGATTAGTTTCTAGGGACCTGTTTCTCGAAAGTCCCGATAATTAACGACCAGTTTCCGTTTACATTAAAGATCGGACTAACATTCTATCGAATCAAAATGGAGTAGTTTGATGGATCCCGCGCTCTTGTTCTTTAATTTCGATTTGTAAATAAGATGATTACCGGGACATTCGAGAAACGGGCCCCAGGACTATTCAGCCCTGATGGATCAATATTGGCAGTAAAACGATTAAGGGTCATTTTCGCAAAGTATAGTTCAGCATACATAAGGTATAACCGTTTGAAAAAAAGGAGCTGGGAACATACTGAAAATGCACAATTAACTCTACCTCATCGCAGAAAACTTGTGCTAGAATCGCTTCATGTTGGGCTGTTGATACTTTGTTGTTGAGGGACCGAGACGCTCTAAACAAAAAAATAAAAAGTCGCAGTAATTGTAAAGAACATTACCTACAAAGAGAGCAGTAGCAAAACAGAAAACGGGGGAAAAAGGAAGCAGGGTTTGAGCTAGGATTTGATCACTGGGGGACACTTTGTCCCCTTGGCTAAATTTTTGGGGGACATTTTCATTTTTAGGGGGACAGAAATTTGTACACCCTTCTGCTGATGCAAAGGGGTTTGTCCTCTTAGCAGGGCTTCTGATAGGTCTCGGAAGAAAAAGTCAAATTTCGCGGGATTTTTAGGGACAAATTCGCGGAAAAATCGGCTGATTGCGCGGGAGTTTTCGGGGCAAACTTCACCGAAAAGCAATCGGTAAAAAACGGCCGATTTTGTGGTTATTTTCAAAGCAAATTTCGCTAGAAATCGATCGGTTTTGCGCTGATCAGACCAGCCTTTTTAACGTTTTTCTAACAGAGCTCATCATTTGCTCTTTCATCAACAATACGCTCCAGAAATGAACCAATGGCAAAGCCTTTAACATCATGGCTAGTGCCCAGTTTTTCGCAACATAATCTGTTTGCACGTTTCAGTGACGAAGTTCCAAGATAAATTTGCAAGTTTACGGCAAGTAAATAGCCCCTATAGCTGAAATAAGTTTCAAATATGTTGTACAGACATGTATTTGATAAGATTTCTACCGAATTTCGCGGTATTTTTCGTGTTTTTGTGAATTTCGCGGCTCCGCGACCGCGCGAAGAATCAGAAGCCCTGTCTTAGATTTCCGACAAAAATAGCAGTAGAGCGTGACTGAAACGTAACTTTGGAATGAACTTTAAAGGTGCGATAAAATATACTTTCCACGTTCTGTTTCAGCTTGCAATTTCTGTACTGAAATAAATCTCTTCGTGTGTGCTTCCTTTCGAGTTTTTTCCCTAAATTTTGAAGGGGACAAATTGTCCCCTTGGCCGTTTTTTAAAGGACAATTCCAATTGCAGTGCGGGATTGGCGCAATGGCGCGGCCTGGCTCAAACCCTGAGGAAGGATCGTTCATGACGTCTAATATAGCTGAATAGGCCACTTTCGAGTTCCAAAAACCCTCACTTTCAAAATGAGGCCAAGTACACAACCTTTCTTGTCAAAACGAGTTTTATTTGCTTGAGAATGAAAAATCATTTCCACATCAAAGGCTGAGCACTCATTTTGATACAGCACTCGGAACTCGGAAATGGCCTATTCGCCATGTTCTAAGCGAGTGAAAAACTGGGTACCACCGCAAAGCTTCTTAGGATCGTTTGGGGCCGAACAGCATGCAACTAATCTTCAATATTACAGAATCCCCAAGGACCCAAATGCACCAGATATGTATTCGTCCGTAAGAATAATCGGAAGAAGAACGCTTAACAGGTGGTTTGGTGCTGTACGCCATGTTTTTTTGTAGTACTTTCAAGCGATCCCAAGAGCCTTTGCGATTATAAGTCGTACCAATTCCCCGCTCGTTTAAAACATGGCCAGTTCTTGCTACATTGGAGGCATCAGTTACAAAAGAACAGGTTATTTTCTTTAATTTGTACTCGGACAGCAGAGTGGCGAATCACCTAACTCTGTAACCGGTCACAGAGTTACTTACCGGGAAAGTACGGCAGCCATGCCGTAAATGTCAATAGCAGCATCTGCCAGTCTCTTCAGTAAGAACTGTTGATCTGTGAAAATATAAAACGTAAGACTGAACAAGCTTGTTACCGGCCGGTTAAGAAATCCGATTGCTTGAAGAAAAGGCCAGCTCACGGACTACTACTACTACTTAACTGCTACTAACCGCGGCGCTTTTTCAAAAGCTATACTAACTATAAAGAAAATTTAAAATCGACTCCAAGAAGTAGTTGTTTTCCTTCCTGGTAGAGTTAAAATCAAGAGGAAGGGTAACAATAACTCTTTCGGCAATAAGAGCCACTTTACCACCAAATCTGGAGTAGATATGGAGTTAAAACAACCCCCCTTCCCTCCAAATAGGCTTATTCTATATCTATTTTTTTCCCTTCACTTTTAAGTCAAAATAGATATGACAATTTAATGGGCAGTATCCTCAGCAAGTGGACCCACGTAATCATTAAAAACCAAATGGTTAAGATAATACGATATCTCCAGTTGCTTACCGACAATTTTTTTCCCATGTCTTATAAGTAACTTTTCTGCTGTTGCAGCAAAGTCGCCCGCCGCCACGGAAGCCTACAAAGACAAAAGTTCACAGTTCAAAACCATGTATAACCACTAAGAAAATTATTTCAAAGTCGACAAGGACTGTGGCAAAGTTTTAGCCTTGGCTTAAATATTTTCTTCTTTGTTTCAATCTTAGTACTGTACATTACCCGCTGATACCCGAAAACCAAAAAAAATCTTTAATTCTACGCATTAACAAAAAATGTTACTAAAACGAGGAACAGAAAAATGGGGACGAGCACAGGAAAAGGGAAAAACGAAAAATAAGAACATAACACAGAATGGGTAACGAAGATACTGTTCCCATGTTTCATTTCTCCGTTTCCCGTTTCTCGTTCCTTGTTTCACGTTTCACTAACATCCCAACTACACTCGCTTCACATCCGATTTTTTTCTTTTCGTTCCTTCCCATCTCTCTTGATTTCTATCGACCATCAGGGTCTAAAGCTTTGGATTGGAGTAAAAAATTGAGTTTAGATCTCCTTACCAGCTTAGCGGACGAGGCTAGGTCTGGATGAACGTGCTCCGTTAGAGAAGGACCTGATTTTATCCCAACAGCCCTATTGACACGCAAAACAAACAAATTAATTAGCAACAACCACAACAACAACATCAACAACAACAACAACAACAACAAAACAGCAAGAAGAAGGAATAACATGCTGAGAGGCAACTCTCAAGAGTCGTCGTTTCTATGGATTTCTCGTCCTCAGGAATCTTAATATAATTTTCGTCATGAGAAAGAACAAATGGAGCAAAAACTAACCCGTTCCACTTAGAACATTTCCGCGCAAAACAAGCCCTAAGGCTAAGTTGCGTATGTTGATACATTTCTTTGTCCAATGGCGTGTCAAATTTTTACTTAAGGCAGCAGTAACCATTTCCTTAAGAAGAGAATTTGCCTCTGTCAACTGAGTTTTAAAATTTTTTTCGGCTATGGCTCCACGATTGTGGTCAAATCGATAGTTACTGTATACACATGTACCTTTTTGACCGTTTTAAACCTTCGGATACAACCAGTCCCAGGTTGGCTGCTGGATTTTTTAGCGACTTTTGAAGTTCTCTTAGATATTTGCCAGCGTCCTGTGGGGAAAAGCAAGGGATATGAATCAAATCAAATAGCAAAATCATGGCGTTTTTTTCTTCGAATTGCAAATCTAAAGCTTAAGTTTACTGTTTCCGGAACGAACCAAAAAAAGGGATTTCTGCCAGTCGACAATGGAGGTCAAAGGTGTTGGGAACTTCTCAGTGAAGAGTACAACTGGCGACCTCCCATCACACTCCTAACAAAGTTTAAGTTTGAGCAAAATGGGTGGAAAATAGTCTGTTTGAGGCCACAATGTTGTCGGGGGAAGGGGTAATGAAGGGATGAACCCAAAGGCGAACCAAAAACTGTTTTAGGCGCAGAGTCCTATGTATCGTTTGTAGCAATGACTTGGAAGGGTCTTTCCACAGTGTCCCGAGTTCTTTTGACCTCCATAGAACGTGTAAGATAGTTTTAAGGAAAGTTTATATAAAGGGTTGAACGCAATTGTAGCGCGATCAATATCCAGCCCGCCGTCTTTTACAGAACTGAGACATGGTTAAAGGGTTAAATTGAGTGTAAAAAAGTACAGAATTTGCAGTGGATTACCTGGAGACCGGTTAGTGAAACAAATAACCTCAAAATGTCGTTGGTGCCTTCAAATATCCTGAAAATCCTAAGATCACGCATCACTCTCTCAGCTCCACAGTCCTTAAACATCAAAACAACAACAAAAACAAAGTTCAGTATAATATGACAGTGAGAAACCAACAACCAAAAACAAAACAACCATATAGAGAACTACGCGTTCAAACCCTTCTTCATGCACTAAATACGATTTTTCCGACACCTTTTAACGATTGATAAGAGGCTACAGTGTTAATTTTACTCACCTTCATGTATCCCATTCCACCAAGAATCTGAATACACTCGTCGGCAACAAACCACGCTGCTTCCTAAATTAAAAAAGGCAAATGAATCCATTAACCTGCTACTGCCGTTAGCAAAACTAGTTGAGCTTCAGGCAGACTTTTATCTTTGCACCAAAGGGACAAGCTAAGCTCTCTGACTTTTACAGCTAGGTCCCGGTTTTTATAAGGGTTAACTATCTGAAATAGGGGCCGAGGCGTCTGTATTATAGAGCTTCAACTGTACTGTATGGCCGACAGCATTGCTTGCAATACTTACCGAAGCATACACTTTGCTAATGGCTGCTTCGAGTTGGAAATCAATGGCTCCTTGATCCATGTTTGCACTGATCATGTAGGCCATAGACTGAAACAAAAAGAAAAAAAAGTGTATAAGAAAACCGTCAAGTCTAGCGTAGCAACAAATGAAGAAGATGACCGGAAGTGAGCATTTCCACCTTTAATACGCCTTGACGCTACAAAATTTGTAGCCCGCGAGCCGCAGACGTATTTCCGGTAACCAGATGCTCTCGCAGGCTACAAAATTTGTCTTGCTAAGTGTTTTGACTCTTACGGAGACGATTTTCCCGAAAATTTCGGAAAAACCACGGGCCAAGAATGCAAGAAGTCCACTTCCGGTTGAAGCGTGTCGCACATATTACGGTAATCTACTGTAGCGCACCTCAGTAACATATTGGAGCATGGCCATTCTTGCTAACTTTTCTTGAATAACACCAAACTCTTCCAGTTTTTGGCCAAATTGAACTCTGCTTGCAGCATGGTCAGCCTGGTATAAAAAAACAAACAACAGCATTTGAACAATGCAAATGATCCGAGCCAAACAGACATTTCAGAGGTACATGTACATGTTCTGTAAAATCAATATCATCGTGCGGAAGATTGTAGTCCCTAAAACTGTTGATGAGTGACTGACTTTTTGATAACTGGTAGAAAAGTCACTGTCCCGCTCAACCGTGATGACTTCTACAAAGTAACACAGGTTGTCACAATGTCAGGCAATGTCCACAACAGTCCTACATGTACATTTATCTAGGACTAACCTCACCCGGACGATCTCAATCAACGGTGTAAATTATAGACTTCTTTCCAATAAACGACCCATTGTTAGCCTGTTCCAGCCGTCCAGTTAGTGAGGACAGCGCAAAGACACGCAAGCAGAAAAACGAAATAATAATAAAACAGCGAGGGGGTTCTTTCTCTCCGCTTTTTCTTTCGCGTCACGTTCCGCTACTATACATGTATTTGTTGTACCAGAACGCCTCGAACAAGCTAACCAAAGAACACGAGTGAAATGCAAAAAGGAAAAGGGAAAATAGAGCCACAAATAACGCCTAAATACGATTCGAGTGCAAAGACTATACAGATCTACATGTACTTACAGCCTTGGCTATTAGTCCCTTCATGGTCCCTGAAAGCGCAGCGGCCATTCCGAATCTTCCGTTGTTAAGAATGTGCATGGCAACCTTAAAGCCATTACCAACACCTAACATGATAGAAATAAATAAATATATAAATATATAAATTATATAGCACGTGCTATATGTGTTTCCTTCGAGATGTGATTGGTTCTCTTGATTGTAAACTCGTGTTTTGGCTGGCTAGAACAAAACCTTTTTCCCCCTTTTTTAAGGGGGGAAGTGGGGGCGTAACTATATGTAATGTGGGAGGTGAGGGGGATCATATGGGACATACACTTTACCAACAGACAAACCAACCAAAACTTTACACTATGTTCTTGTTTTTACCGAATCATGTTACTCTTATAATGAAGCACAATTAAAATCTGTGTATATTGGACAAACCTCCTGGGCTACAGAATGCCATTCAGTTGTTACTACTAAAACGTAACTATGAATGTTAACTTGTTTTTCAAAATTTAATTATAATTACACCAACCTCCCAAGACATTTTCCAAGGGTACTGGAACATTATCAAAGTGGACCTGACAAATAAAAGAAGGTTGACGGCGGATTTACAATGTGCATATCATTAACCACGAAACTACTTCATATGTAGAGTATTTTTTCGGTCTTTGTTGCTGCTGTCACCGCAAACGGCTGCGTTTCTTGCTACGTTAATTTCTCCACTTTGACATACATTACTTCCCTTGAATCAAGTTTTCGTTTTTGGAAGAGGTTTCACTTCAATTCACATCATTGAAAGTAGAAAAATCAGTTTCCTATAACGAGGTGAGCTAAGCGTACCTTTTCTGTGGACCTTCATCGGGCAAACAAAGGCCTGTCCGATGGCCCAGGACTAACGGATTTTGCTCACGGGCAACTGAACTCTGTTCTCAACTCAAGTGAACTCAAGGGAAGTTTTATAGGGAATTCAAATTGCCGAAGAACTGTAATCAATCCTGCTCATCAAAAAAAATTTTCGGGCTAATTTAAATGATTCTAGGGCTAGCAAGAATGCTTACTTTAGCTTGCCCGAATGACAAGCTGTAAAACTGTCTCTCTTTGCCCCGATCTTATCATTTGAATGCATAAAAAACTGCCGTGAAACGCGGATAAATGAAGTCTTGAGCGCACTGACCTCCGCAGTGTTGGAAGCCTTGATTCCCATTTTCTTCTCTGGCGGACCACTGAAAACAAAGCGATAAAGACAGTACATTATAAAACAACCGCACTTAAAGGGAACCTCCACTCTTACTACAGAATAAGTTTAAATCGAATAAAATTATGTTGATAAACAAATTTGTTCGAAATTTGTCCTTAAAAAAGTGTTTATATCAGGAAAAGTGAATTTTAAAATCGCTTATTTTCACTTTCAAATTTCGCGGGCGCCGCCATCTTGAATAACTGTGACGTGTTACGGTTGCTCTATTGTTCTGACACAAAGAGCTTTTGTTTAATAACAATAGGGCAACCGTAACACGTCAAAATTATTCAAGATGGCGACGTCCGCAAAATTTGAAAACAAAAATAGGCGAATCTAAAAGTTATTTCTTTCGGATACAAACGCTTTCGTTAAAAACATTTTAGATTGACTTGACTGTAACAGTTATTTCCTGTGATTTAAAGTTATCTTTTTGTTGAAGTGGAGGTTCCCTTTAATTCGACTGAAGTTTTGATGACATAATACTGGGGAACCACCCCGTTTATACTATCCCTTACAAATAGTTAACACCACCACAGACTGCAAAACATTCCGAATTTTGGCTTGCATGTAGGTCGAGAATGCGCGAGCGGTGAAATGAAAACCCCTCAGCCGCGCATTGATAAAGCGATTTTGAGAAAAAAGGCCGACTGTTTCGCAGTCTATAATACCGTTAGCTGATCGTCCCCCTTGAGTGGTCTCTTCCAACAAGAAAAAGAAGCAGTGACTTCTGATCGTGGCAATAGGGTCGCGCCATTTGCGGCATGCTTGGTTACTAGAGCATGTAGTAGGATGAAAACTTATGATGCTTCTTACTAAGAATCGGGTGAAATGGTAACAAATCAATCGGAAAGACACTACATCCAAAGTCAAAGAGATGGTCGCTCTGTGAACACATCTAACTCTGGATGTCAAAAAATCTGTTCAATTTACAGCACCCTTTTTGCTAGAGATATTGTGTAGGTCTTACTCTATGTGAGCACGAAAATACAGGACAACAATGGATAAAAACTTACGTTGTTACTCCACCAAACCCCCTCTCGACAATGAAAGCTGTTACTTTGTCTTTTGTTTCGCCTGTATTAGGATCTGTTATGGGAGTCTGAAAAGAGTAACGACAAACATTTTGATATTTATATTTTTAATTCTAAATAATATTTATTTACAATTTAATAGTTACATCGCTAGTTTAATCGGATAAAGATTATTTTGATAATATATTATGTAGTTTCAAGTTCTGTTAGATCATAAGTTTAATCGTGTACCTTGGCAAAGACAGTGAAAATATCGGCTAATCCTCCATTGCTGATCCTGTGATTTCAAATAAGAGTATGCAATTAATAATAATTATGTAAAGACGCGCATTTGTGTGAGGTAATTTACTCCATTAATTTATTAAGCGTTTAAGGTTTGGCACTACATTAAGAATTAGTGTTGTGACCAATGTGTTTCATAAAGCACTGATATTACAGGGAGAAATTTCATGCTGATCACTCTTAGAGCTTTTGAAAGGGTAAGTAATGTACTTACCACAACTTGCCTCCATTTAAGATGTAATGTTTACCATCCTTGCTTAGTTCAGCCTGTGTTCGTATAGACTGTTAAAAGGAAGAGTAAATTAAAGTTAAGTACTTTTAGAACTTAGACTAGTACAAGAGAAACCTCTTCAAATCATTCTCTCTTGTCCTCTTTTTATAACAATACAAGGGAAGAATTTGTCAGTAATCCTAAGGTAAGCAACACAAGCTTTTTGCCTTTAACGGGATTGTGAAGTGACGCAAACACGTGATGCAGCAAAACAAAACTGTGTGACATAGATGTACTTTGCAAAAGTCTAGCGCGAATGTTAAGATGCAGTATGAGGGGGTGGGTGACCAAAAAAGAGACATCTTGTGTCCTTTTGGTTGTACCCTGTTTGCTGCATTCCATCCAGTTGCAATTCCAGATGCAATCTTAGTTAATAAAAATAAAAGCCAATGTGTCATTTTTCAGGGATAAAACAAATTTACAATTAGGAACTGCATAACAAGGAAGAACCTCCACTGAGGTGACCCAGTTGGCTATGTTAAAAGTGCTACCAGGGAGATGAATTCAGGACTACATACAGAGAACAAATAAGGCTAGCGGGTAGGCTGAGACATGAGCTCAGGCCCTCTAACTGCTCTGCCATGCTGCTTCCTGTAAACATCTTGTTGCAAAACAAAAAAATGCTACATGAATTTAATGGTTACAGTGCAAAAAGCCTACCCCTGCATCGGATCCACTACTTGGCTCTGTTAAACAGAATGCTGCCATTTTTTCACACGGAGCAACCTACAGGAATATTAAAATGGGAATTGAAAGAGTCTTACATGTATCTACAGTAATTCTATAAATCAGAGAAGCATTTTTCTTTATTTTTTCAGACAAGAAACAAAAACTTGTTAAATGGTACTTACCAGTGGTAGGTATTTCTCTTTTTGCTCCTTAAAAATGGAAAAAATAAATTATTTTTCTGTCTAGAATACACAATCACTATAACATACCGGAATACAAAGAAAAATAATCATTTTTACAGCTTGCCATTTGGGCAAGCTGAAGCTACAGTAGCATTTACTAGCCCAGACATCATTTCAACTAGCCCCTAACGCTTTATGACAAGCAGAATTGATTTCATAGTTCTTCTGTTATTCAAATTGCTCAAAAACATCACTTGCCCTTTCGGGCAAGTTAAAAACAGAATTCACCAGCCCGAAAGCAAAATCCACTAAACCCAGGCTATCGGACACTACTTTCTTTGCACGCTGCATACAAGTACACTGTATTATTTTTAAACATGGACAGTCTATCTGGAGAATTCAACACAAGTCATAATTAGGATACCGTAAAATTCCGAAAATAAGCCCCTCCATGTATAAGCCCCTCCAAATATAAGCCCCCTAATCTGGTAACGCAAAAAAAACTCCGTTAAATCGCCTCGCTGGGGGCTTATACTTGGAAAATTGCCCTCAAATACAAAGTAAAACAAAGCAAAAACGGTAAATTTACTTCTAACTATAAGACTTGCCCAATCGATTTTGAAACACAAATTTCCCTCCATAGATAAGCCCCTCCAAAAATAAGCCCCTCAAAAAGGGCCTTTGAAAAATATAAGCCCCAGGGCTTATTTTCGGAATTTTATGGTATCCAACAAGACAGATCTTCATGTGTACAGATCTGTAAATGAAGCTGACTCACCTTATTTCCATGTAGAAGAATTCCTTTGAATCCAATTGACTGATGTGCTCCAAGAGTGATTCCTACAGCCAGATCATGGGCACCAACAATTTCCACAAGCCTGGCATACTAGAAATTTATTAAATGAGCAAGTTAAGATCCTCATGTTTTGATGTACTTGAACTTGATTCTTGTATTTGCAATATTTATTGAAAATTATAATTACCTGGGTGTTAGTTAGACCAAGTCCACCTAAATCTGTTGGCACCTGAGATTATAAGATGGAATCAGTATTGTTAAATTACAGTACCACTCAAAAGTAAGTTGACAATCACTAGCATCTCGATCCTCGATTCTCGAAACTTTCAAGAATCGAGAGTTGAATCGCAAAACACAATGAGCTTGTCGCTTGACTGATGTAGGTGTGGTTTTGTAAATACTTTGTGAGAGTAGGGGAAAAGGGGGCATTTTAAATGTTGAATTATCAAATAATACTAATGATTGTTCTTCACTCAAAACAATTCTCCAATTCTGATATGCTTACAGAAATCCCCCAAATAATGTTTCATAAACATTTATTACTTCTGTTCTGATTTGTATTCGATAACTGATGATGGCAAATAACTGTTTCAAAGATATCCTACAATGTAATCAGAAGGTAATGATGTTTGTGCTTATAAAAACACGTATCTACTGGATCTGTTTCATATCAATACAACAATTATCTTAAACTTGGCTTTCATAAACAATTATTGTGCAGTTTTTCTTTTCATTTTCTTCGTTGCCAGTGGGGAGAGGCACGGGAGAAAGGGGCAGGGGTGATACCCCTTCTTCCATCTGTGGATCATGGACAGTAAAGTGTCTGGTATGCCATACTGTTTTTAGCCTCGTCCAATTTTTTAATAGGTCTGCATCTGAATGCCAATATATAACTATGTAGGAACATATACTGTAGACCTAAATTTACCTGCAGACCAAAAGCACCCATTTCCTTAAGACCTGCCAATGTGCTATCTTCTACTTTTTCCAACTCATCATTTTTCATTGGGTCATTCTGTTCCTACATGATCAAAGATGTAAGTAACAGAAAAAATGAACGAATTAATAACTATAATCGAATATAATTTGACATTTTAGTAAGTAAAATTACAGTTCACATTATGTCTTGGTTAACTTGGTTTGGTTTACAAATTTCATTTTCACTTGAAACCATGCAGATTTTTTTTATTTTTGTATTTCTTCCTCCCATATTAAGGTAATGGTCTGGACGCAATGAAAATAATCGAAATTAAATGAGAAAACTCTGTACCACAATATAATAAATGTCTGGATGGTTAGTACCAGTTAGTATTAAAACAAAACCATACCTAAAAAGAATCATGGTACTAAGCACTTTAAAATTACCTCTCAGAGGTTACAAAAATTTGGCCATTTACATACTACATGTGCAACTAGACATAATCCAACATAATACATGTACAAGGTGCTATGAAATATAGTGTGGTATTCATGTAGCATCCATGTTAATGAGGTTTGAGGTAAAGAACTGTATGTACTGTCTTAATTTATGTGTGGCCTGATTACTTGTTGCTGATTGATTATCCATTTGTAAAGAACAATAATATCTGTAACAAAGTAATAATGTCTAACCTCAAAAAACTTGGTCACTGGATCAACATATGCTTGTAGTACACTTTCTTGCTCAGAGTCCAAGACTATGGGGGAAAAATGTTATATCGAATAAAACTAAAATAGTAAAGAAAAAATTTAATAACAATAAAAACTAAATAAATAAATAACTTGATAATGGTGAGATGTCCTTGCTGAAAAGTCATGTTTTAATAGTGTTACTTTTTACGCCTAAAATTAGTAATACATGTATAGATCATTCTAAATAGTTTTTTTTGTGCAGAAAACATGTATGCATTATAGTTAATTTTTTATCTCAGTTAATTTTTGTTTTTCTTTTGTTTTTGAGTATGATAATATATGCTAATGAAGTTTGAACAAAAGAAACATAAAATTACCTGAGATAAAAAATTAACTACAAGATATACATCAAAAAATGATATGTGATTTAACAATATCATCAAATGAAACTTACATACTGAGTGTGTACCTGAAATCTGACTGTGAAATTGACACTTAAATTTACCTTCTGGAAAAGGAAACACTTGCTCCACTTTTGGATTTCCTCTAAATAATCCCATGACAAATGATTTTGATTCTGTGGGCTACAAGTAGTAAATAAGACAGAGTTAGTGACTTTTTACACTCTGTAATAATACAGCTGTGATAATGCAACCATGGTACACTGGACAAAGCACATACTCTGTGCGGTGTTCTCACCAGGATTTTGCCTTGGGGAGTCCCAGGGTCCCCTCTGTTGAGGAGGGGGAGAAAGGTATAACCTGAGCTGGTACTCCAAATGATCTGCCACGTGAAGTACTTACCTGATCTAATAAAGCGGACGGGGTGTTTACGATTCAATAACGATGCATGCACCAATCTTCACAATGTACATGTACATGGGACCAACAAAAATTAAGGAAATAAAATTAAAGACTTTGAATCTTTTGATGTCATGTTTTTTACTCATTCGACCATGCAAAATGCTGCCAGGGTTGCCCATTAAAAGCACTTAACTGTAGACATTCCAAAGTCGGTTTGACTCATAGCTTGCCTCTGTGTGGGCGTATCTTCTTGGCTTTTTATGTGCCATCTCAGATTTTCTTGTGGGAATCCCGCAAGGCCACGTCCTGGTGAGAACACTGCCTGTATATACTGTGTATGCTACAAACATCATTTCCTACCCAGCTCAGTTTAAGTGCAAGGAACAGAGCTGACTGTAATGGATTATCCAAGAATCTTTCAAATTCTGCATCACTGTCCCACACAAACGAGCTTTTCTGTGCTTTAGTTTGAAATCTAGCCAATTTTTTTCATAGCTTCAGTCTGACCTGAACTTCAATACCGACAGTGCTCCCACTACACATTTACCGACAAAATTCTATATTCTTAGACTGTTAATAATAACAAAACTCTTCATGGAGATTAACTGTAGATATCCTACAGTGTACACACCTTTGCCTCTGTGGCGTACCCATGTTTTGTGTTTTGTGAACCAAGAAGAACAACTCTACATAAAAGATAATAAAATAAAATATTGAATAGGTAAAATAAATTATTACTGTGTATAGGTTTAATAGACCATGAAACCAAGAGAAAGTTCAGTCTACGACCTGGTCAAGATTTTTATCTCACCAGGTCAAATTTCTTACTGTTATCAGTAATTAACAATTATTGAATGAGGCTGGGTATGATCTGAAGAATTATGGAGATCGAGGAGGGTGTTATCTGCTGAGGCTAATTCCTCCGAGATCTCCATAATGCTTCAGATGATACAAGAGCTGAATTCAATAGTTTTTTCATTATTCACTCAAAATATTCCTAGTTTAAAAACAAGCTAAAACATACTTACCTCCATCAACGTTAAGTTCATCTTCAATAGTGCGTGTTTATGGGCAAGTTTAGGAGATAAAGGGTTGTTCAGTTCTACAAATATTCTCCAAATAGCAGATGTTGCCTGTGAAGTTGTCTTCTTGCTGTTCGTGCTATGTTTTTAGCCAACAGTTTGCCTATTTCTTCCTCGGGAAAGGAGTGAAATGTTACGTCATTTTCCACTCACTACCAAGATCATCCCCAGGTCTTCTCGGTTTAATAACAGTTCTATAATCTGGCAGTTTAGCTGCACAATTGACCACTCCAGAAAATACCATAACATACCATAATGCTCTTTGTTTGTCAACCCAAAATTTTGCATAAGCATTGTCTTCAGTTTCTCTTGGGAGTTAAAATGGCCCCAACGGAGAAATATTTTGAATGAATAATAACTTCAATTATATTTTCAAAAGTTGTGTCCTTTTACTTCATGTTTTCAACTGAAATACATTTTATTCTTCCTACCCTAGCAATATGGATGGCAAGATAAGCCTAAAACAAAACGAATATCTGAATGTGTCACGGCATATTTTATATAGAATACGATGGTTAAATAGTTTACAGCGTTGAGCAAAAACTGATTACATGACTTCGTTAACTTTATGACATGTCAACTTTAAAGATCCAACGACGTGGACGGCGACGAAAACGTCATAAAAACAATAGGTTTTATAACCAAAACAACAACTTTGCATGCGCATCAGGCTCGTTTGTACATTTCTTTACCCGTTTTTGCACGACTACGACGTGAAAATGCCTAATTTCGCGTTTTATGGAGTACGTTTAACAAACAAACAAGGACGAAATGCTATTTCCCTTTCTGAACTTGGATATGGTCCATAGGAATTCAACTCCAGGAGGGTTCGCTTACATTTATACAAGTATTTTCACTATTTTCATAGAAATGTTTGCAGTGATATAATAATAATAATAATATTAATAACAAACGGCCAAAACGATCATAGGGAAAAATCGGGAAATTTTTAACAGGCGCTACCTACATCACGCCCCCTCGACTAAACACGTTTCTAGTTTCCTCAATTCAATTTCAATGTGACGACAGCAGATACGTGTAAGTTAAATAATATTGCTCAAAAGCGAAAGCGACTCATGTCACCACCTTAAACTCGGGGACCAAACTGTGACACGTTTACATGCTTTCACTTATGGACAACACGTCAGTTCTCTTGTATTACATAAGGAAACAGCTGAGAAACAGTTGTCGTCAAGTTACCCAAAACAGTCAATACAACATTTCCACGCTATCTACCGGTCTAATAACACGGTTTTAGAAATAATATGATCTTGGCTACCTAAGCCGACCTAAAAATTTTGGAGTGAAAGGTTTTATTCTATCGAATTCGAAGGACAATACTGTATAAAAGATTCCTTGCGAATGATGAATTAGCATCGTTACTACTCACCGACTTACCTTTTAAAGTTCGACGATTCTGAAAATATCTCGCTGGATCTCCCCTTTGGTAAGTAGGCAAGACCTCGAGAAAATCTGAGACATCCACAGCGCAACATTCTGGAAGAAATTTTGGCAAAGAATCTTAGTTGCCTCTTCTAACGCGCACGAGATGACTACGAAAATTTACTGTTGTGTAAGTTGTCGTAATAAACGAGCGAGCGGCTGCTAAGCCGTTCAAAGTCCAAGGCCAACCAAGGTGAGTTAGACCACAGGTTACCCAAGTTTCTACAGTCAAACCTCGTTAATACGGACGCTGGAAAGCGTCTGTAATGACGTATTAAAAGTGGGTCTTGTTATTGAAGTAAAAAAAACCTTTTATTAGAACAAAACACTAAAGAAATAAAGGAGCAGCATCAAATTTAACATCTCTAACCTTTACAGAGCTAAATCCACGGTAACACTTAAAAATCGCTCATCTATGTATTTCTTTCGAGAATTACTTAATCAAAACCGTTCTGTGCAGAACGCGTTTGATGACAAAAGTCTCTTGAAATTGATTTTTACAACTCGTCCTGAACGGTGTACTGTAGCGCTAGGAACATCGACATGCTGTCAATTGCAACCTTCTTCCCACTCTCTCTCCGGGCTCTCCCACTAGTCTCCCACACGTCGCTCGGTAGGGACGAGAACCCTGGGAACGAGGTTGCTGTCAATTTTTCTTACCTTCGGAAAAGGAAAAGTCCATTACAGCACACAGTTGATAATGAAGTGTCCTTCATTATATTAACAAGGTTGACTTTCTATGAGAATCAGTTGATTGGGTCAGAAACAAGTTTCCTTTTTGTCCGCACTGAGAAAATGCAAGGGCTTTCCCGCCTGGGACAAAAACAAACCGTCCGTAATAACGAGGTGTCCGTATTAAGCGGGTGTCCGTAAATCTTGGTTCGACTGTTTTAAGGATTGTGCTGAAACTTCGTAAATGCCTGAAATGCCTACGCTTCGCTGCAAATATTCACTCGGCCTTCAGATCTCTCTGAACACCTTGTTAAAAGCAGCCGCAGATTGTGTGTTTCCTTTGTGAACTGAAGAGTATCGCTGAATCATGGCCGTTCGATTCAAATCCCGTTCAAGCCTGTTTTTTAAGCTTCAAAAGCCCGCACTGCTAGATCCTGAGTCGTGCATTTAACTGCGAGAAACTTTGATCAGGACAAAAAGGTCTAAAATTTTTCACGGAAGTATTCTGTATAAAGTAATCATAGCATTATTTACAATAGTTATATATTTATCTATTGACTCAGTAATGATGACGATAATGATGATGATGATGATGATGATGATGATGATGATGATGATGATGATAATAGTTATATGTGGTTACTTATTCATTATCCCTTCTTTCAAAAGGAAACAAGTGAATTAACAAATTACTCTTAATACTTCCATAGTCAAAACTATCATCTGATTGGCTATAGCTATGGACAGCCCTGCGAGCTTCAGCAAATATAGAACCGTGTAGGATAATTCCTCCCCCCCCCCCCCCTCCCCAAAAGCGTGCGTTTGGTGCTGACCCGCTGACCCGAAGAAAGGAACACAGCTGGGAACGAGATTAAATGTAGCTGACAGTACGTGTTGTCGCGAGCGCTGTTATGGATTATTTGTATGGGTTCTTTTAATTTTCTTGCCAGTTCAAACTGAAAAAAAAACTTAAAAGGTCATAGCCTGAGAAAAAAAGTCGACATTTCGTGCTGCCACTAACATGAGGTTTAAGGAAAGAACGCAGAAATTCCATTTTATGAAAAATCACTTTATTTGAGTGTCAATGTATTTAGCAAGAAAGTGCTAACTGGGGACACTATTTTTACGTCTCGCAATAGAGACGGGACCGCCATTTTACGTGGTCATTCGGGCACGCGAAGGTCCATCCGCTTGCATATTATTGCAAGGGTAGTACCTTCATTTCTCAGTTATTTTGAGGTCCTGAGTAATGGTCCGCCCCGGGAATCGAACCCGCGACCTCCTGCTCCGCAGTCAAGCGCTCTACCGACTGAGCTAATTAATCCTGCCGTAGCCTGTGAACAGGCCTTTGGTCGAACAGGGAATTAGGGAGAGGGAAAAGCGAAAAGGCCTGTGGACAAGCCTTTGGGACCGCCGTTCCACGGCACCCGCTGTGCATCAGATCCTGATGCAAGTTCTTATTGGCGAGAACACTGACTGTTGAAAGGTCTGATTGACATCGGCCTTTCGGTCGGCACGTAACACGCGTTTGGAAATAACAAAACACTCCAAAGACTGTTGTTCAAAAGCTATTACCCAGGGAGGAACTACGCGCTCCGGTCAAAAGACTCACACTATCTAATGGATAGAAAAACACTAGGCTGGAGTTTACCGAGTCACAATGCAATTCTCCATAGTTGATGTAGCTTCGGTTTAAGCTGCACTTGAATCTTATAACTTTGGATCTGTAAATTACTCTCCGTGATCGTTTTAAACATTCTGCAAAGAAACTAACGACCTGGGCCCAGCGTGATACAACATTTCAGAAAAACATTACATTTACGGACTAAAGAAAATCGTTTAGTTATTCAGATCCAGAGGGCACTTTGGAGAAAAGTACGACCCTTATTCAGCCGCAATAAAAAGCTTTACGCTTCAAAAGAGGTCAAAGAAAATGCTCTTGCATCAGAGAGGGCAAATCCTGCCGACCAGAGACAAAAACCACAGTAAATCGATATGTATGCCATGACCTCTCAGTGTGAAACCAGCGGCTAAAACCATATTTGCTCAGTGAAAATGTAGAACCTTCCAGAGCATAATCTACCGAGCAGAGGAAAAACCTTATGGGAACAGGCAGCATTTTGGCGTGAGGTAAACGCTGTGTAGGCCTACCGCCCTCTTTTATTGCTATAAATGCGGGATAAATACCCAAAGGTGTAATTCCTGTCGGCGATCGAAGCGCTGTTGATTTCTTTGTACTTGTCTTTGGAGGTTCACGTTCTGGAGAAGTCATGATAGTATCCGTACCTTTCGCATTCCAAGTTCGCTCATTGCAGGGGCTTGTTGAATTAGAAACTGAACTAGCAAGACGAACGGCGCGATGAGCACAAGTTAAGCAGCTTAAATCGGAAAAGCTTTCTCCTTGCACAAGAGGAAATCTTGAGCAATCAAATGCTTGCGCTAGTACAACGCTGTCTTGGCCCCTGTCAACCAGCAAGGTCTTATTTCTTGAAACGCCAACGACCGGCACCGTATTAATTCTCTTACCGGAGATCAATGATTTTTTTCAAAATCGACAATTAGGCTCGCGGTCCATTTCACTTTCAATTTTGAGACGAAGCAAAACACGGATGTTTTCCCTTTTCCCAGGAGTTACTCACGCGCGAAATTGATTGACAGATAACGATCTTGCTGACAGATGTTCGGCAAGATAATTACAAGAGGGCGGAATAGCGGCCTCAAACGTGTGTCTACAGGCTCTCTCCCCCCTTCCCTTCCCTTTCATTGCTATTTTTTTCCCCAGACAGAGAGCCTGTTCACAGGCTAATCCTGCCGCGGTTAATACTGATGACGTGCACCTAGGTCTGGGTGGTGTCTCTGATCGGGATAAAGCAAACTTTTAACCAATCAGAATTGAAGCATTTCAACCAATCAGAAGCGCTAACCAGATTAGGGTAGGCACACGCCATTTCGCGGAATAGCCGTTGATGGCGTTGCGAAATGTCGACTGTTTTCTCAGGTTAGAAAGATCGATCTCACTATCTTAAATTAATAAGGGCTTAAGTTTTGGCGGTTTTACAAGACCATATATGCAGAATGCAGTCTTTACAGATTTTGGTCAATAAGTTTCAGATGTAGTTTTAAGGTTGTTTTGCAATCATTCTTTTGTGTACGTGATTATACGGCTAAAGAGGGGAGCGAATAAGGATTTGCGGTAATGCGGTTTATAACGCAATTTCGTTTTCGTGAAAACAGTGCCAAATCACTTAGTTTTGTATTGGTAAGCATTTTTCCATACCAGCTTTTTTGAATTGTTCTACTCTAGCCTGTTCTTTTAACCTTAAGGATAAGATTGAGCCAACCAGGATATGATTGCAACTAAGCCCGTCTCATGTTCATAAAAAAAAACATAAACACTGCTGGCCTTAGCCTGTCCCAGGCTCTCAGATAGTGGCCCACGCTTTCTCAATCCCCGCGGACCCGACTATCTCGGGGCCTGGAACAGGGTATACTCTCCTATTACCGTTTCTAGTGTATCTGCTCAGACCTCCTTTACATTTGAGCTATGCTTTCGTCCCAGTGAATCGACAGTGACAGCCGTGGCTCCTGACAGAGAAGGGTCGGTTGACTGAATTAGCAGGAGTCAGCATGGTAAAGATGGTTACGAACATTCGAAAAAGGGTATTTTAGTGTTTCACCTCGTTGGCACTTAGGGCGGAAGGTGCTACAGTACTAGCAAGTCTAGTAAATACCGCCGTGTAAAATGAATCGATCAATCCCTACATGCATGCCTATGAAAAAAACCCGGGAAAGACGAAAAATCGGGAATATATTAACGCTGTAGTGAGTTTGTAGTGACTCCGAATGCGTGTATGCACATGGGCGATCCTAGCCTGTTTATTCCCAAGGTGTTTCGAGTCTGGTGGCATTGTTAAAAATGCACAAGCGGCAGCCGAGAAAGCAGTTACGACTGGAACAGACTACGGCGCGGTTAAAGGAGCTTACTCCGGCTGTTAAGGATCATAGGATTACTTGGCTTGTTTGCCCATTTTGCATATTGTGACCCCCGACTATTGGTGTGCCAAACTACAGCAAGGAACATATTAAATAAAAGACTACTGGAAATAGTCGACTTACGGAAACTTACGCTAAGAAGAAGAGGAACTTTACGCTATAGTCCGGCAACGTGCCTCTAGTATAAACACTGACATGTGACTGATATTATTTGTGGGTGGCTTGTCAATGATATTGCGACAGCGAAAGCATTGCCACCATTTCAATTGGTGCTGTAGATTTCAATATATATGAGGCCACAGGTATGTAGTCGGTTTGACAGTTCAGTGCGCTGAAAAACAAACAGGAATTTTCCATTGTAGCCCTGATCATGAATTTAAACCGTGTA